GTCAGGTTTCCTCCTAATCCTTGACAAATCCTGGAGAAATCTGGCATACCAATCAGAATTCTCAGGAGTTTCAACAGGTTGCTGGTTTTCTGATCTCAGAAATGCCTAGAAGGTAGGTCATAGTACTCAGTGCCCCTCCCTCCCTTGCGTGCTCTGAAAATGTATGTGCTTCTTCTCGTTAAGCTGGCCACGCCCAGAAGGCAGGGTACTCCAGTGGTTGGAGCTCCTTGGTGACTCTGAGACTCACCAAGTTTGCCAGCGGTTGACGACGGATCATTCTGATGTGGTGGTGTCATTTAGTGGTGACGTTGCAGCTGTGCTTCTGGAACTTTCCAGTGAATTACTCTAGGCTGCTGTACCTCCCCTCGGGGTTTTCTCAGATCCCTGGCTCCCCCACCATGAAGAACTCCGGGCTGTCACTCTTTAACAGTGACTATCAGAGGGCGAAGTCTTCAGGGACTTCCACGGTCTAAAGCATACAATTCTGTGAATTTGACTTACAGCAAGCAAATTTTTGTAATCGGGTAAAAGAAGAACTGAAACTGGAGAGAGGCCAGATAAGCCAGGTTGTTAAACTCAGAAGTTTAATTTTATCCGCGATATCAAGTCGGCAGCTCAGAGAGGTCGAAGAGGGGTGAATCAAGAGCCAGGCGCCCTGCTGGCCTCTTGCTGGGCCGCCAGCCCGGGCCCCACGCCCTTCCAGCCCGGTTCCAGCCACAGCCGTCAGGCTGCTCTGCCCCCTGAGGGGAGCTGCCACAGGTCGCCGGCTACTGAATATTAACTACTGGTGCAGCACAGCAAATTCAGAACAAAATCTCGATTTTCCCTCCAGCCTAAAATACAGTTGGTCTCTTGTGATGAAATAAAACGTTGAAAATACAGCTGCTCCAGAGAACATTTACTGTTGTTTGAGCTACCAGTGATAACTGGAGAATAGTCCTCATGGCTCCCCTCAGCATTTTGGTCATAAAGGATGGGCCTTTTAATTTGTTATATTACAAACTTTTAACAGAGAAGAAGTGACTTTCCAGAAGCTCTGAACGCTGCTGCAATAAATGGTTTGTCATTTAAGGAACAACAGTGGATAAAATTCTGAGAGGTCTGAGGTCAGTTTCAAAAAATTAATAAATCTCATTTATTTACAGTAACTATATAAGTAGAACCAGACCATGCTTTCGCATTTTGTTAGCAGATCAAAAGCCATAAGCAGCTCTGATAAAAGGTGTGAGGGTCCGTAACTTGGTAAGTAAATGCACCACGTTCCCCCGGTGAAATGAAGAAGCTTCTAGTTCACCTGTGTTCTCTGCTTGTGACAATTGAGACTCAGCCAGCAGTGTTATTTTCTCCTTGATATTTGAAAGATTCAGGACAAAGTAAGATTGAGTTAAACAGGAAGTAGCTACACATTTTGGGCATGCTAATAATCCAAATTTAACTAACTAAATGGATGACAGTATTTTTGTCCGTAAACCCAAGAGGGATCAGAAGCATTGAGCTGCAGCTCAGTTTCTAAAATATTGTTTTCTTTACTTAGAAACTGCAGCTCCGACCTTTTAGGCAATACTACTTTCCTTTCACACGACGTTGAGATGGCCCGTGTCACGAATGAGTGGGCGGTGAAGTCATGCCTGGGCAGGGCATACTTGGGCCTAATTGGATTTATTTGGGGAGATTCCCAAGGGTTTGTCAGAGACATTCTAAAGGTTAAATTCAGTCTTTCTGATTGACAGTGAAATTGGTCTAGATCTTATTCAAAGATGTCTGTGGCTTACAGCCTCAGGCAATTGCGGTTATTCTGGACTTTTTGAGAATACTATCTCTAAATTCTGTGACTGTGACTCACGAAGAAAAGAACAGCCCGATCTCTTAACTTCTCTCTGCCCTACAGTAATGTTGCTCTAAGGCGCAGTGTCTTTTATTCTTAGAATGGGAAAGTTAATTAAAAGAAGTAGCTTGTGGTCTGGCTTAGAATGGAAATACTGTACCTCTTTAAGATAATAGTTGCTATTTTTAGACTGACTTAAAAAGAAATGAGCAATAGTGATGCTTATAATCTTCATTTAGCCTTAGACATTAGGAGATACACTCTCTAAAATGTCTAGTTACTTACTGGTTACTCCAGACGAGTTTTTGAAAGTATTTTTAAAGATATTTTTAAAAATATATTTGTAATGATGAATAACTCACTCAACACTAGTTGTAGAGAAAGGCTCTTCAAATTCCATTATAAAATAAACATAGCAGCTTCCTAAGCAAAATGGAGTTCCCATAGTAAATCTTGGTCGGGACAATGGCACGTTCCTGGGCCCGGGATTCAAAAGTAGGTATTAATTCAAAGCAGCTGGACGCTGATATGGAGCGTAAACAGGCCCGTCTTCCTGCTGTGGCCTCGCAGAATTTGATGTACGACCGTATTTTGCTGCTTTTGAGTGTTTCTCCAACCTTTGAGTGAGGGAGGGAGATGGTAGAAATACATAGGCTTTCCTGTGTCTAAGCTTTGACGTTCCAGAAAAACTCCCAGAGAGGTCATGCTTCTTTCCCTAAAAGGTAGACCGTTTCCCTCAAGTGTAGGTTTGTGTGGTTTGTCGTCTTCTGCTCAGCTAACTTTCTGCTGGATTTTATACACGTCATTCCTTCTCTCAGCTTCTTCCGTCGTCCACAGCCGCTGGTGCCTAGTTAGGTCTCAGGATGCCTGCGGATGGCAGAGTGAGGAGCATCGTGACACTGACATGACTTAATGTGCTTGCAAAAGCAGTCCCGTAGCCAAAGCGGAGACATCCTGGGAGATTGTGGGGAGCCGAGAGGAGAGGATTACAGCGTTTCCAACCAAATGGAGCTGGGGTACCTCTTGCGGGGCTCGCCTCCAGTTCTCTTGAGTGAAATACTCCATGGCTGGTGTGAAGGATTTATTGGGAGGAAGCTTTTAGCTGCTCTTGTGATGTGTGTGTACATACAGACACACACACACCCACATGCACACGCGTACACACATGCACACATACATACATATACACAAACATGCACACATGCACACGTGTACATGCGTACACACATGCGTACACATACATACACATACATACATACTGATGACATTCTGATCTCTGTTTCAAAACTTAAGCTATTTAAAGAATTCACCAATCTAGAATCATTTCTCCCAAATAGAAAAGGGACCTCTCCATCTTCTTGTTACTCTTGTTTACAAAAGAAATGAAGGAAGCACTCCCCTTGGGTTTTTGTGAGACTTTTTCTGAGGAAGGATTGTGAATGAATAGAGAATTTTTTAGAAATTTGAGGCCTACCTGGGAATTTCCTTGGCTTTTTTTCTTTCATGTTCATAACAAAGTGATGAATGATAGAAGTCCGGGGAACCCAAAGAGTTAAACGGATTTTTGCGTTGGGCGCATTCGGGGAGCAGATGGAAGGCCCGTGGGTGGGAAAGCTGTTATTTAGATGGGGGGGGGGGCTCCTGTATGTTGGAAGGGCATGAGATTTTGAGGGGAGCTGGGAACCTAACATTTTGGGGACTAGGTTAATATGTACTAGTGGACACAGGAGAAGCGGAAGCCAAAGCATATGGTCAGGAAGGGAGTTAACAGGCTGCCGACAAAGAGGAAGAATGTGGCAGCTGAAGTAACCGCAGGGAGATGAGAGATGGATAAAACGGTTCTGAGATACCTAAAGGCCTAAAGAAACTCAAGAGCCTCCGGGAATAAGGAAATTAGTCTGGAAATATTGATGTTGTTACCTTCATTTGGGAAGTGCTGATACGTGAATAGGGAAGAAAATAAAGGAAGCTTCCTGGGTACCACCTGGGGCTTTCACCCATTCTCAGATGAGTCAGAGGCATCCAGGAAGTGAAAGACAGGTTGAGCCTTCCTGTCACGGAGGCAGGAAGCCAATAAAGAACGTCGAGATGCTCAAAACCCCAAGAGTAGATGTTACCGGTGATTAGACAGAAAGTGGGACAAACTTCTCCAGCATTTCTTCTTTGTGTTTACATTTGAACGTTTCTATGTTCTTTGTTTAAAACTATTTAGGCTCAGTGAAACAAAACACGAAAACAAACGAAAAGTCGCCTTGGTTCTGTTGGAACAAGGCCCTTTTCCTGTTGTGTTTTTGGCTCGGTGTGGTCAGTTTGCCAAGTCACCTACAGACCAAGCCATCGCTTCCGCTGGCAGGGGGTGGTTTTCTCACTGCGTGGACCTCAGATTGCGTTCGATTCTCGAGATAATATTTATCAAGGCTCCTTCAAAGTGCCAGGTGAATCGAAGGAGGTGTTACCAGCGCGACAATCTCTGGTGTTTGTGGATGACTTTGACGTTTACAGACTTTCTTGTTTGAGTTTGAAAATCAATTCTGCAACTTGTCAACAACTGCCCCTTTCTTGTAGGCGTATGACTAACCAAAATATGAATTAGAAGAGAGAAACAGATTTGTGAATTTTATTATTATTTAGGGGAAAAGCTATGCAGTGAAACGCAAAGTAGCACACGCAAAAATATTAAAAGCACAAAGAGGGCACCATGCTTCTTTAGAGTATACACTAAAAATGAGGAGTTTTAGAAAGGTCCATTTACGTGAGTGGTTCATATGCCTTTTTAGTTCATGAACTCCATTGAGAATTAGATTAAAAATTTATGGATACCTCCATACCCTCCTCAAAAAAAAAAAAAAAATATATATATATGAGCAGAGGTTCCCACAAGGGCCATCCAGGTGACGTAAATCTAGGCCAAGTACAGACAATAAAGAACGATGGCACTTGGGTTAAACTAGAAAGTAACGTCGAGTTGTTCAGACAATAGAGAGGTGGATCTGTGACTCATTAGGATGCACGTCCTTACTCAAGTAAACTCAAACTCTAAACAATTTTTTAAACATAGCGCCAGCTAACTACAACACATTTTAGGCAAATTTGACCCCACAGCCCCTCCAGTTTGCTATTCTAGGCTTTTATTTATCATGTGTAAACAGGGCTATTCTTGTTTTTTTGCCCTAAGGCACGACAACAAGCTCAAACTCGTCACCAAATGGCAGAGGATAGCAAAGCGGATTACTCATTGATTCTTCAGAAATTCAACCAGGAGCAGCGTGAATATTACTACACTCACATTCCCACCATCTTTCAGGTAAGTGCCTCAGATCTCTCGGGTTTCATGTGTGCTTCGCTTAGAAGCACGTTCCTTCGAAATCATGATTGCTGGGCTGGTATCCCAAGTGGTTATATAATTCTAAATTTCCTGTAACTCAAATCATTTTTGAAAGCGTCTAGATCAAGCATTGACTAGCAATGAGATGAAATAGAGTATTAAGCTCAAGATTAATCAGGAGCCTTTGCAAACTTCCCTGGCTTGCTCCTCCAGTCATTTTCTGCCAGTCCTAGAAGTCTGATTCTTAGATTAACGCTCTCTTTGCTAAAAGGACCATTTTTGTACAAAAATACCACCTTAACTTTAGGAGTGAAAGCAATATTCATACAGATGTTAGCTCAGGGCTAATCTTCCTGAAACAAAGAAAAAAAAAAGGAAAAGAGGAAGATTGGCAATAGATGTTAGCTCAGGGCAAATCTTCCTCACCAAAAAAAAAAAGAAAGTTATGAGAAAGATATATTCATGTTCTCCCACTTTGGGAATCTTTTACAACTTCAAGTCCAGTTGTAGAAAAAAAATAATAAATATTTGCTTCTTGGTGTCTACACACACAGCAAATAAGAACCTCCGGCTTGTAGAAGGAAGGTTCCCTAGTCACCTCTTGGCCTGTGTTGGGGTGAGACAGTTAACCAGATACCATGCCTGTGGTGGTAAAGGGTAAAGTAGGATCCAAGATGGAGGGAATGTTTGACGAGTATCCTCAAATGCTGTTAATAATGAAACTACTTGAGTTTGGGGTCCTTACTGAAATTGGAATGGAGTTGTGTCAAGTTTCCATTTGATTAGCCTAACAAGTCATAGAATATGGGCACGGCTGGCTAATGTGGGGGCACAATAACCTTCCAGTTGCTCTAACTCAAACCCTATAGGCCTATACGACTCCTAGAGAATTTATTAGAGGTAACAGTGCTACCAGAAAACAACTTTCTTCCACAACAGTGGACCAAGTTAATTTTATACGAAATCTAATGTTGCAGAAAATACAAGAGATGGAGGAGAGGAGGATAGTGAGAGTTGGAGAGTCCATGAAGACCTACGCCGAGGTGGATCGGCAGGTGATCCCAATCATTGGGAAGTGCTTGGATGAGATAGTCAAGGCGGCCAAATCAATTGATCAGAAAAATGTAAGTCTTGCTGTTTGGACTTAACTTACAACTTAGTGTTTTGGGTTCCATTCTGTCTCCTCCCCCTGCCACGGGGACCTCATTGAATCATCTCCTGCTAGGTACTTGCTTCCTGTGGTCACAAGTACTTTTCAACAGTAGCAACACCACCGGAGAGTTTTTTTTAATTCAGCCTTCTGTGTTTTGGATTTAGCTCTCGAATTCCTTTTGCAGAAAACGCATATAAGTGGTAAGCGGTCTGAAACATTACAGAATTAAATGGAAGTGTTTTCTTCTCAGTTGGCTGAGTAACCTTTCAAATTGGGATGTGACTCTTTAGGGCATTTTTGGATGTTTTGGACCAGATAATTCTTTATTGGGGGGCCCTGTCCTGAGCACTGTAAGATGGTCAGCAGCGTCCCACTAGATGCCAGCAGCACCCCTCCCCCGGTCGTGACAATCAAAAGTGTCTCCAGATGTTGCCCAATGTCCCCTGAAGGGAAAAATCCTCTCCGATTCAGAGCACTGCTGTAGGGCCAGAGTTCTCCATTTGGATTCCTTTCCTAGAAGTCTATTTCCCTCAGCAAAAATACCAACTAAAACACCAGAATAGGCTTTTACAAACATTTGTTCATTTCCAAACCAAACATTTAACATAAAAGGCATGCCATAAGTATTCTGTGTCATAGGAACAGCTTAAAAAGAGTCCAGGGAGGGGATTGAAGCCATCTTTTTCTTGTGAATAGATCTTAGCATGCAGAGAGATTCTTCATTGCTCTAAGACGTTTGAAGTGTATTAACGTTTAAAGCCATTTGTGTATAAAGCTTTTGTTGGTCCAATGGACACAAATGCTTCCAAATGTGTTCAATGGTAAGTATTTGTAGGAGGGATAGCTGTAAGGTAGTGGTGTGGTTTTTTTGGTTTGTTTTTATGTTAGGATTCCTTGATCTTTATTTTATTAATACCTATTTGCCTAGAGCCTCCCTCACTGATTTCACCTAACTTTTTAGGGAAAAATTATTGATGCTTCTGAATTACTGGTGCTTCCCCATCAAACTACGTTATGCCAACGAGTTTTCAGAAGTGATCAAACCGTCTTTTCCCTGTATTGAAAATGTCATTATTTGATGTTTTCTTTATCTCTTTTAAGCATCTCAAAAGAGACAGGCCTCTTGCTGGACCTGTTTCTTGGTTTAGAGACCTATGGCTGGTCACTCGTCTATGCAGTCAAGTTTCTCTGTGTTATGAGTACCCATTCCATTTTCCTACCACCATTGATTCATCAGTTCTGTACATCTCTGTATCTTCACTTTGGTCAAAGTCTTTTGTGGTTGTAAATTCCTGGCTCATAGAAGGAAATCAAGAAATAATCTCAGTGGCTATCTGACCACCCTATTTAAAATTTCATTAGTCATCCATAAATTACTGTGTGTGGGGTCTTTTAAAGGGAGATGGCAATAGTGGTGTTTACAAGGGAAACTTTCAAGGTGAGGTCATCTCTATGTGCGTCTTGACTTTTCTTTTAGCTTCATTGACTTCTGGCATTGATTAAAACCCAAAACAAGGCTGATTTTCATTTCTTGTATTATAAACTTGGAAAATTCTTTTTCCTTGAAATTTTACAGTTTCATGAGATTATGTCTGAATGATGGTTTCTCTTTATCAGTTTTATCTGGGAAATTGTGAGCCCCCTAGATTTATAGGATATTTCTCCCATTCTGGGAGCCTTGTTCTCCATTGTATCACTGATAATTCTTTTTCACCCATGACGTTTATGTCGCTAAATCCAAGGGGCTATTCTAAGTCGGTTCGTCATTGACCAAAACGTCATTACACGGTTCATGACTGCATGTCAAAGGATCATGTTTTCACTAGAATAAGTCATTGTAAACACCAGCACACTTAGGACTGTGGAATGGAATCTGCTAGGAGAGGTTTAACTTCATGTGACGAGAACAATAGTGTCTTAAACAAGGCGGTTTATTTTTCCTCTCATGCAAAAGATGTCCCCAGGCAGAGGGTCTAGCCATGGTGTGGGTGGATGGTCCATAAGTCCTCACAGACCCAGGCTCCTCCCAGTTCACAGCTTTTGAGGATGTGACCTTCAAACTCAACATGGCTGCTGGAGCTCCAACCATCCTATCTAAATTCCAGAGAGCAGAATATAGAGAATGGCCCATGCCACCCCTTTAAAGAGGCTTCCTAAAATTGCACACTGTACTTCTGTGTACCTCTCAGAGATCTCAGAGGTCACAACTTAGTCAGGTGGCCGCCCCCTGCTGTACAGAAGGCCGGAGAGTGAAGCCTTTTAGCTGGGTGGCAATGGGCCCATCTACTCAGAAGGAAGAAGGGTGATTGGCTATTGGAAGACAATCAACAGTCTGTGGCATACTTCCAAATTACGTATTAGCTGAAATAGCTATGGGAAATTAAAATGTGGGCTCCTGAAGAAGTTGAGATGTATCCACATTGTCTTCTCTAGTAATTTCTTTTAATCAGATGGTCATTGAGTTAGAATGTTATGTTATAATACTCTACATATAATACTTTATCTATAGATCTATCTATCTATGACACTGTGGTTGTAATTTTCTTATGCATTTGTCTCCACGACCTGACCCTGAGAAGATGTTGAACCTAAAGTTGCCAGCACAGTGCACACCATAGACTAGGCATTCAGTTCATTGATTCATTCAGCAAACATTTATTGCACACCATTTTCACCGGACGCCATCTTGGTCCTAGGGATCCAACAGAGGAAAACAGAAGGGAGCTTACATTCTAGTGGAGGAGAGACTGTGAACCCATATATATACAAAGAAAAATTACACCATAAATTAATATCTTTGAACCACAATGAACCAAAGAAATTAGACGGATTAGCTACTTTTTGCTTTGACTTTGTGTATGCTGCATTGTTATGAGAACTTCTGATGAGAACCAGATTTTTGTATTTCTGTATTTTTCAAGGGAATTGCATGATAATGGTCCAATTTTTCTGCTTTTAGCAAAGTCATTCTTAATTAGCATTTGTTTCGCCAAATGTCAAAAAAATTTTGTTTCTTCAAATCTCAACTAGACATATAGCTTTACAAATTATACTTTTTCTTCCTAGTGATAAAACTACTACTAGGAAGAATCTATTATTAATCAATATACCTTCCTTAGAGCATCATCTGTGTGAGGTCATCACAATTCATTGTGTAAAAAGTATTGTACGTATTGAACGTATTTGCGTGTGATTGGTTGTAATTTCAGGATTCACAGCTCGTCATAGAAGCTTACAAGTCAGGCTTTGAGCCGCCCGGAGACATTGAATTTGAAGATTACACTCAGCCGATGAAGCGCACTGTGTCCGATAACAGCCTTTCGAACTCCAGAGGAGAAGGCAAACCAGAACTCAAATTTGGTGGCAAATCCAAAGGAAAGCTATGGCCATTCATCAAAAAAAATAAGGTACTGATGGTTGGACCCGATGTGAAAATGAGTTTTCTGCAGAGTGGAGATTTTGACTGTATCTTTTAGTTTGAAAAAAATTAAGATTTTAAACCTGTAGCTTCAGAATGCAAAAAAAGGCTAGTATGCGATTTTATTTTAAAACAGTATTTCTCCTTGGTGGTGGTCCCTCCCCCATGGCCATTTGTCTTATTTCAGATGCATTGTCACTCGTACCGTGTCCCCCACACTAACAGATTACTGACCGCTCGGCCGCCCTGCTTCACGCCTTTCACTCCTGAATCTCCTGGGCTGCTGGTTGCCTCAGCTGGGAGAAGGGATACTGCGCAAAATTTCTATAACAGTTTATCAGCCTGTCTAATCGAAATTGTTTCCCTGGGTTAATAACTTGGTTTTGAATTCATGTTAACATGTATATCCATGAACATTTTTCGTTTTCTTTTTATATGGCACGTAGGTGCATGGCGGCATTAACCTGGGCATAACATGATCAAGGCGACATTACAGCTTTAACCTTAGAATAATTACTATCTAATTTTAAAGACTGTCTTGCTGTTTTCACAATCTCAGCATTTAAGGTCTTATCATTTTCTCCCATCAAGCTGTGTTAGTTTAGGAGGTTTAGAAATATTTACCCTTCTGGCTGGAACTGGTTTCCAGGAACTGATTAGAACTGTAGTTTGCATGTGAAAGTCTGCATGAGCTTCTTGTCAAATATTTCTTGTGGTTCTTCTGTGCATCGCTTACTAAAACTCCCACTTTCATCACATTCTTCATTTAACGTATTCTCCATGTTTTCTTTTGGACCATGGCCTAAATATTTAATTGTTTGTGTTTGACTTGCTTTGGGTTTCAGATATGATTTGATGCTTATTTTTGTTTGTGTCTTATCTTCTTGTTTCTGATTTTTACTCTGTCACTGCTCCATCTCTTACACGTAGCTTATGTCCCTTTTAACATCCCCCCGTCAGCCTCCCCCTCCTCCCCCTGCCTCTGCCTCACCCTCTGCTGTTCCCAACGGCCCCCAGTCTCCCAAGCAGCAGAAGGAACCCCTCTCCCATCGCTTCAACGAGTTCATGACCTCCAAACCCAAAATCCACTGCTTCAGGAGCCTAAAGCGTGGGGTAAGTCCGGCTCTGGAATCCTGTCTCTCTCGTGCGCTTTGGTTGCATGCTCTGGTCTGCATAACTTATTTTGTTTGTGAATGACTCCATTGTGTTTTCCCATAACATACAACAATAAGAACTTATGATTCAGTATTGCTGGAGAGAAGAACGGCAGAGAGAAGAGGAAAGAAGGAAGGAAGCAGGGTAGATGGAAGGAGAGAGAGCCAGCCGGCCCAGAGCTCTTTTTGTCTTGAGCACATTTTGGAGGGACTTTTCTCCACTTCCCTTTTAAAACATCAAAGTCATTAACATTTTACTTTGATTTTGCCAAAGAAGGACACTTAGATTCAGTTTAAGTTAGCGACGTATGAGATGAGGAATTGGAAGTTACTGTGTAGTCAGAAAATATTTGCTTAATAAATACTGAGACAATGTGAGCATAATGAAGATGGTTTTCTCTGAGCTGTGCCTCTGGGGTCAAAGGGGAAATGTCACGGTTTCAGGGGTTTCTTTAGCTATTTTCGTGAACTTGTAAGATGTTGATAAAAATCTCTGACTGGAAAAGGCCCAACGCAGTATTTATCCTTAAAAGACGAAACAATAATAGCAGCTGACATTTACTGAGCCCTTATTCTATGCCAGACTCTATTCTCTGTGCTCCTTTACTTTTTTCAACCACCCTACGAAGTCTAGGTACTAAGATTTCCTTCTTTTACTGATACAAAAACGGAGGCATAAAAAGATGAAGTCAGGAAGATGTTGAGCCAAGATTTAAAGCCAGGGAGGCTGCTCGTAGTCAGAGATTCTGTGCCGTCCACGTTCAGCGAGACACTGCGACAATGTGGTTGACTCGTGAGTGGATGTTACGCAGACCCAGGCTTGCCGTTCTAACAAGGCTGCCCGTGCCTGAGTCCTAGGGTCTGTGCAATCGATCCAGCGGCCCAAAGTAGATACCGGTTTGGTTTATAGGAAAAGATTGGAATAAGGTAATGTGTAGTCTCCCAGATAGGTCTAAATTGTCAGTCTAGTCCAAGCCATCCCCAAATCTTCTTCATAACGAATGATGAAGTGTGGCTATCAAGAGTAAAGAAACATTTAACGCATCAACGTATCCAGTGAGGTCATCTTTTATCCTTTCTCTGAGGGTTCAATACAATTGTCTTGGGATGTGTTCTTGTACAAACAATTTTTACTTCTCCTTTCCTCTGTGTAAAAAAGAGTGTAAATGTATAATAACTAACTAACTTGTTACCTTTTAAAATAAGAGACAAAAAAACCACCCCATTTCTTTATATGCAGAGTTCCTTTAATAAGGGAATCTCAAAGTTTTATGCAAAGAGGACAGTGGGTGGAATGATCTTGCTTTCAGGTTACCCAGTATATCAGGTTAAGAATTAGAAATTTAGTTTCCTAATGATTTCAAGAGAGCCATTGTTCGAACGCAGAGTATAGCTTCAAAAGTGGGTGATGGATGATGTTGAGCTCTATAATTAGATCTCACTTTCTGGCTTGATTCTCCTGGCTGTTAGAACCCCCCATCCATCTCCACTTGTTCATCAGAGCATTTCCAGCACATGACCAGGGTATTTTTTGCTAGACTATGTTTTACATTCATCGTAAATCAGTGAACCCATCTCTGCCACTTCTAAAACCCTTATGGAGCACTCATTTATTCTATTGATAATAAATACCTCTGCATTGCCTTTTGGAGTCTCCTAGTGAAGTGTGTTGAATATTCATGACTGTTTACCATTTGTGTCTGTATCTTTTCCATTCTTCTCTCAACATCACACAGTCTGTTGGTTGCCAATGGTTTCTGAATCTGTGTTTTCTGGTGTTCTCTAAATGTTCAGTAAAAGACCAAAGAGTGTCAGTAATCAATAAGTGTTAGAAAAAGATGGCTAGGAAAAATATAACACTTAAAAACAAAAAATGGTGAAGTGGGAAATGGGTTATTTTGATGATTTAAAGGAAAACTCTTTTTTTTTTCTTACCATAATTAGCAAAAATGGATTTTATTTCTTACTCTTCAAATCTGTGCTCAGCAAACCTCTGTTAAAAAATTTGTCCTAAATGATGAGTGTGTTTTCCTGAGAGGAAATGCACAAACGCATACACACACTAGAAGCATTGGTAAATAAACAGAAATCTATTTTTGTTTCCCTCATTTTTGGTCAATCTGTTCTTAGTGAGGGTCAGAGTTCATGTCCCTTCCTTCAGGAAGTAGGAGTGCAAAAAAAAAAAAAAAACAGAAAGAAAGAAAAGTGAAATAAATCATAGAGGTAAGATTAGGAAGTTCAAAAAAAAAGTCTGAAATGTAGAGAAATAAATTTGATTTTAAAGTACTCTCAGCATGGAGGGTACATGGTTTACGGGCTCCCTGACTTGAATGATACAATCCTAGCTACTCTTTCATTTACTCTACTTTGTAACTTAAAGACTATTGTGCCAAAGATAGGAAAAGTACCCTAGGAGAATAACCAATCTGTGATTTCAATATGTCTTTTAATTTATCATGTTTTGCAGCTTTCAGATCCAGAGTTCAGTAACTGGTTTCTCTTATCAGAATGTATAATCCTGTGCACGTATTTCTTAGTGTAACTGATTTTTGTTTCTAAATAATTAAACAGGATAATTTTTTTTTGCTGTAAATCATTGACATTTGTAAGAAAATTTTATTTCATTGAAGGTCTTTGAAGTATGCTACCTGAGTGTTATTAACCATTATTTCGTCTTTACCTCAGTTGAAGAAAAATGAGACTAATGTTCTTAATTTGCAATCTACAAAGTAATTTCATTGTCTTAAATTAAGTTTTCTTTTTCTGGTCTGAGTAAATCTAAATCTAAATGGACATATTTTTCCCATGTTTCAGAGTTCATTGCATGGAAAAATACTGTCAGAGTTGATCAAAATATTTTGAAAATCCTTACCAACTGTTTGTCAGATGTTACAATCTTATGGTTACTTTAATTTTATTTACTTTATCTTGTTCTCTCGCTGATTATTGGCAGACTCAGTCTTTCTGTTTTCACAAAGAACTCATGAAGAGGACGATAGGGAAACCCACGTATGCTTTTGAAGCTAGGGACTATGTTGTAAGTTTACCTGTGGCGGCCAAGTCGCACGGTCACGGCACAGGCACTAACCCCATTGACATCACCAAGACTGGGGACCCAGAGGCGCTCTGCTGTGCTCCCATCCGAGCAATAAAATTCTCAATTGAGAGACCTGGACACCAGAAAAAGCCTAATTGTCTAAATTCAACCACAGGCTATTTCCTCTGGAATACTCGCATGGAAAATGGAACCAAGCCTCCCAGTAACACTCAAACTTCCTAAAAACGTCACTGAGTGGAGCTTGGTTTTCCCCCTTCATTGAGCGTGACTGCCTTCTGAGAGGACGTCACTGGCTTTGATTTTATGGCAGAATTTCATCTATAAAACGCAGTTGCAGAGCGTGGTCACAGGACAATGACTCTTACAGATGGCAGTTGTGTAGCTTGGGGACCCACATCCACATTTGAAATGGATGGACCTGTAAGGAAGTTATATCGTAAAGCTTGCAGAACCAAATAACATCAGAGCAGCATGAGCAAGGTCAGAGAGCAGTGAAATGACGTCCTGTGAACACTGACTTAGATCTTTATTTCCACTGTCCCCTTTCTTCGTACTTGAGGTTAGTACCTGTGACTGCCCGGTAACACATGGACTCGCTGGCTCTGTGTCCCTCATGTGTTATTGACACTTGTGGCTCCCAAGGCTCCATAATTGTTGCCTGAAACTGACAGCTTTTTAGTTCTGCAGGCGTCTCGCGATGCACTTACTGCAGCCTTTCAAAGTATTCTCTTAGCAGATGATTCCGTTTCTAATTTTAAATAATCTAACTGGCTGGCTTACCACTTAAGACCCAAAACCGGTTTATAATCGTGAAAAAGAATCCCGTAGGGTGTTTCTTGTAGATCATCCATCAGGGTCCACTTCAGAAAGCTGGATTGGTCTGAGAATTCACTATTTCCCATTTCTATTTGGATTTATTCTCAGTCCTGATGACTTGTTTTTATTAAGAAGTAGTAATCTTCCTGTGCTGTTAGTTTCGATGTTAGAATTCTACTTTTGGAATGCTTAAAAAAGAGTATATAAGCTTAAGGAACGGAAGTAGCTGAAGAGAGAGCGGCTAGAGTACCGAGTTCAAATATCAGTTCTCTGAGTTAGCGACATTCAGAGGGTGATGAGCGAAGAAACGTTTGTATATGGCAGTGTGCTTTGCAGGGAAGATATTTGCAAAGTTTTCTGCTGTGCACCATAAGTGTTGTCCGTAAAGAACTCGAACTGTGATGACTCTGTGCTGAAGTTCCCAGGAGGGGCTCAAAGAGCTAACACAGACTGCCACACGAGAGCCGCCACGGATGTGACTGTCTGTACTTTTTTTTTCCCAAAAAAATTTCTCTTGCTACTTCTTTCCTTCAAAGTCTTTTTCCTCATAAGGACAGTTTCTTTAAAAGCTTAACGCCTATTTACAAAGAAGCATCAACTGTGAGTTAATCTTAAGAATACGATTTGTTAAATCTGGTTAAGGAATTTCCAACACCCTCCCTTCTCCCAACTTAAAATGAAAGGGTGCTTTCTTTAGCCCTTTGTCTCCAACATAGTTTCGGACCCTACCACCAGCTGCCTGAAGTTTTAGGATTGATAACAGCTAAACAAATATGCACTGACCTCTCAAAATACTGCTTCATAGCCATAGAGCATGGCTCACCCGTTGAGGAAGAACCACGTTCCTTTTTCTAATTTTGAGAGGCCTTCTAATGTGTTTTGGGTCCAAAAATCACTATACCCTTCTAATCTCCAAGCCCAGCAGAACTGCAGCTGCTGCGCCCTGGTAATGACCAGGACCACCACAGTAAGGAGGCCCCCTTGGAAGGTGAGACAGTTGGCTATTTCCTGGAGGTAACTTTCAAGAGCAGCAAGTTCTGTTGACTCCCCAGATGCTATGTAACCGCTGCGGGCGGGCTCAGAGCTCGCTGGCCGCCCCTGAGAGCCCCCCACAGCCAGGGGGTGGTGTGCAGGGCACGGGTGGGAGGGGCATCCTCCTGCCTCCAGTGCTTGGTTACCCATTCCTCAGCTTGAGAGTTTGCCTGAATACCTTTAGGAAATGCCAATGCTCATACTTATTAGGTCTCCTTAAAATAAAAATATTGCTTCCTATTGTGGAATAATTGCTTTTCCAACCCTGTTAGCCTGTGTAAAACTTTCCATGGGAAATTTGGTGAACAAAAGCCTATGTGACTATTTTTGTCTTCTATAATCATCATATGTCACCAACGGCAAACTTATTTTCATTTATATCCAGTTTCTTGTGACCAATAGAGAAGTGTAAACAGAAACTCTCCTTTTCTATCTTGATTCTTCGCCCTGGCAACACAGCAGTCGAGAATGATTTTGTTAGCAGTAGCCCCTCTTGTGAACTTTTGCGCAGACCCGCTACAAGTCGTTTTCACGGAGCGCAGGTGAACACGTGTATGTTAGTACAGCGGAACTGACCAGGGCCCTCTTCTTCTGATGTGTTGATGTATTTCTCTCTCTCTCTTTTTTCCCCCGCTTACTCCTTCAATTTTTTCCTGAAGCTTTCTCTCAAGCTGGTAAGCACAATTATTCCTTGCATGTCCTGAATCTAATTGGGGCTTTGGTGTGTGTTTTATTGTGCTATGCCTTGTGCAACGTATCTTCAAAGTTAACTGTTGATTTGTGTTTCTCTCGTGTCTGCTTGCGTTGGTGTTTCTTTGTCAAACCTTTGAAAACCAAAGGTCTAGAATCTAATCAAGGTGATCTTAATCTTTGCAAATTGCTAAGAAAATTAACGCTTAACTCATGATTTGGTTTTCTTTATTACTGGGGCCTTAAGAGGATGACTAGTGTTGATAAAGTTTATTTAAATATGAACATAAATATAAATATTAAATATGGGGGAGTTTGTTTATTGGGTCATTTTGAATAAAAGTAAATTTAATAGTTGAAAGGTGCTCCTCCCTGGGAGCCAGAGAAGCAGATGGAGAGCTCTGGCACCTGAGGGGGACATGCAGGAACGATGCCAGTCTCAAGCTCAGGTCTAAGGCGGCCTTCGAGAATTGAAAACTGCGAAATCTCGAAGGTGCTGCATAAGTACCTTGGTGCCTTGTGCATGGCTGATTCAAGAAATCACAAGGTGATTTAATAGACAGTGAACAAGCCTCCTCAGCCTTCCTACCATGATTGACTGGGTGTTCTGTGTTTTACTCAATTGTACAGCACTAGTAAAGAGTCCAACTAATCATTAAATTTATTAAAAGAAACTCTCATTTAACCACATAACCCATAACTACCCTCCAGATATGTGTAAGCCACGTAGTATTCTCAAACACCACAGCTGAGAAGGTCCTGAGATGATGAGCAATGGTAAACGGTGACCATTCGCCCAGGAATAAGACCAGCACTTTACGCACTGCTGTTGATAACGGAGGGTGATATTTGCTGGTGATCCTTATATATGCATATTCATAAATACATAATTGTTTTCAACCCGACTCAGTATTTGGCAACTGCCCTAACCCTAAAGAAAACGGGTATTTTATTAAATTAAACATTGCTTAGACTGTGAAATAAGATCCAGAGAAAGGTTCTTGATTAAGGTCTCTACAAGAAGGAAGGATGTAGACGCTTAAATGAACTGAGTTCCTCAGCAGTCTGGATTCGGCAGAAATGGAGCAGCTAACCGGGGTCTCTCAGATGCCAGGGTGTCCTTCCTCCCTTTCTTTGTTGTTTCGATGAGGTGCTAGCAGCCAGCGATCACCGCATCAGGAGCCTTTCTGTCTGACATACAGACCACTGACCGCCCTGGTGGCGAATTGTTGTTTTATACCCTGACTTTCAAGTTCCTGAAGAAGTGGCGTGTTGCACAAAGGCGGCTTAGGGGTAAAAACCAGAAAACTCAGGCAGAGCTCAGGAGCAAGTGTTCGATCCCAGGAGCATGTCCAACAAGAGCCTCTTAGAGCCACAGGACTGAAAGCAGACATCTACGCACACGGCTGCCCCTTCCAACACCTGGTATGGCCAGTCTGCGTGTGAACTGGGCTGTTCCAAAGATTCCAGAAAACCCATCCTGAATCAAAGCTGGAAATAAAAATTCCTTTGTGGCAAAATGAATCATAGGTCAGAGTATTGTTTGAAAGAATTCAAGCTTCAAAAGGCTAATTGGACACAAAGATGTTTAAGGTACTTTCCAGAAACCTTGAGTTTCTTTGGATCTTTCAGAAACTGTTGATCTGAATCTCCAATGGCAACGTCAGGTTTGTCTGAGGCGTAGTCACTGAGATTCGATTTAAATACCAACACAGAAACACAGAACATCTATTGAAAGGGACCTAATTGCTCAATTAGACTGACTCCTGATCAAGCGAAGAGAATTTGTTTATTATTTAATTGTTTTCATTTTTCTAAATAATCCGGGCTGTGTTTTTGTTGTCTAGGGCAATCTATTTATGAGTCATACAGTGTGTTTCACTTACAGATTTCTGTGCAGCTGTTCACACGCCAGTGCAACTCGTACACCTGCTCGCAGTCTAGACCCGTGTGGGCCAGCGTGGTGGCCACTCACCACACGCGGCTATTTAGATTTTAGTCAATTAAAATTAACTAAATTTTAAAATTTCAGTTCCACAGTTGCACTAGCCACATTTCAAGTGCTCAGTAGCCACGTGCGGCTACTGTATTGGACAGTGCAGCTATGAGGACATTTTGATCATTCTGGAAAGTTCTTTTGGACTCGTAGCACATAGTGAGGCTCAATGAATGTTAATGAACGCTGACCACTTTCTCGATCTCCTCACTTCTGAAGCAGTGTATTTTACACTGTTTTGTTGCGTTCCAGCATTAAAACAAAAACAAAACCAAAAACCTCAATTCTAGAAAACATGCTGACCTGTTGTAAGTAAATTCAACATGAAAACAAAATATGGAGCTTCCAGGCTCCGTGATTGAACTGAGCAAATTGAAAAGCACGTAATTAAGGTTTCAAGTTTTATAACACGATAGTGTATGGAAAAGAAAAAACAAATCTGGTTTATTTTTATATTGAAGATTAGTTTGCTTCATCTTAGTTTTAGAGGCAAATTGAACTTCCTTGGTTTGGCCTTAGGGGATATTCCCTGCCATCACTCTGGTTTCACTCAAATCTTATCTCCTCCCACTCTCTCTCTCTCTCTCTCTTTCTCTCTCTCTCTCTCTCTCTCTCTCTCTCACACACACACACACACACACACACACAAGTCTTTGAGAGCATTAGCGGAAAGGTCTTGGCGTGGCCTTACTGGTAAACTATTTGCTGAACCACACGCTTCCAGCAGCCTGGCATTTTGTCCTAAGCAGCCTAGGAATTCCAGTCACACGCCCCCAAGTAAGCCGCTTGGCAACTTCAGCTTGATTTTGGAATGACATTATCTGGGTCCCTTCTTTTCCACCCACTCCCAAGCCAGCCTTGCCTTTGTTTATTTGGTTCTAAAATAAAATCTTTTTTTTTTTCCTAAATTCCCCAGCTTATCCCTGGTTATTGAATAAATTTCTCTTTCTTTATGAAAATCACCTCATTTAAGTAAAAGCGCTTGATAACCACAACTTAGCCACAGCTTGTAACAAGTCTGTATGGAAAAGTCTAGAAACTCACTGTTGACGTTTTCTACTTAAATCGCATGCACAGAGGAGAGATAGCAATTGTTTTTGAAAGGGACTCAAGAGATCAGAATATACTCCTGATGGATTAAAAATAGCTGAGGTTGATTTCCTAGGCCGTGGGCAGTAGATTTTTGAGGTGGGGGAATTATACGTGGATTTCCCGACTGTATAGGAATTTTCTAGTGACCCTAAAGATGTCAAAAAGAAGTGAGCTGACTTTTAGAGGCAGCAGAGTGCGTGGGGGTAGAGGGAGGATGTGTTTTTTTTAATGTCCTTTACACCCACATTCTCTGAGGTACTAGATGTCCCCTCTGTCACTTCGCGAGGATGGAAACTTTTGGCCTCAGCCTGTGTGAGGGGACGGGAAGGAATACTCAGACTAGGGGGGAAAAGCAGGGCCTTCGACATGAGACAGTTGATGGGGGTACTTACCACTGTTTTATATGAAGAAAACATCAACTTCCTTAAAACTTCAGTGTTGCCACCGACACTGACAGTAAAGTGAAGGATCTGTCTCAAAATTTGTTTTCCACTGATTCTCAGTGGAGTCAGAAGTATTTCTTCCTTTCTCCCCCTGCAACATGGCTCCGTGCCTTTTCCGAGGCGGTTCGGCCGGCATCCACGGCCCGGGAAATGGTTTGTGGGACTTCTGCCGTTTGCATGCATTGATTCTGCATCTCAGCTGGGTGTCGTGGGAAAGAGCTTAATTTATTTCATGAAAATACATGCAGACGTCTGTCCCCCTGGCGTCTGGGGAATTTTCCCTGCGGGCTCTCCTCGGGATCTGTTCCCCAGCAGCCCCGAGGGCCTTCGCGGCTCACGCGTGTTTGCATCCGCAGGGCGCCGCGCCAGAGGACTTCAGCAACCTCCCGCCCGAGCAGAGGAGGAAAAAGCTGCAGCAGAAAGTCGACGAATTAAATAAAGACATTCAGAAGGAGATGGATCAAAGGTAGAGTGGATCCATGTGACCTCCTGAGACGTTCCACTTCAGTTTGCAAAGATGGGCAATCCTAAAGGAGATCCTAATAGAAGCAGTTATTTCAGCCGTGTGTTTTGTCCTAGATCGTCCACTGGATTGCTTTATTACAGCTTGGGAGAATTCTTTGAACAAATAGGTTTTATTCTGAGTTTTGGGAACAAAATACATATGGTTATCTCTTTTATCACGGGTATAAAAGTGAGGTTTTTTTGTACAAATGAGGAAGAAGGAAGTAGCATGAACCCCGCCCCCTCTCTTGCCCCACATCCTAGTTTTGGGTCCAGAATGTACCTTCCTTTCTTTCTTTTTTTCTTCTTCTCCCCAAAGCCCCCCGGAACATAGTTGTATCTTCTAGCTGTAGGTCCTTCTAGTTCTGTTGTGTGGGATGTCGCCTCAGCATGGCCTGAGGAGCAGTGCCATGTCCACTGCACAGATGCCAACCAAAAGAAAATTGGTGTGAAAAGGCTGACTTTCAGGCCCCCCCAAAAATCCAAACTATTCAACTGAAGAGAGTCAACTTCATAATAATAAGAGATTCAAATAACAAATGGTTCAATTCACCAAGAAGATACAAAATTTTAAATCTGTATGACCACAATAGCATAACCTCCAAACATGAACAAGCAAAAGTTGACAGAAGTACAGAAATACAAATATATCATTATATGGGAGATGTTTAATGCTCTTCTCTTAGTAATTGATAGAACAGATTAACAGAGTCAGGACAGAAGATCTGAGTAATGTAGTTAACAAAATTGACCTCATACACAAACGCAACAGCTGCCTTATACACAGTCTTTTCGAGCACACACGGAACATTTCCAAGAATTGAGCACACCCTGGTTTCATAACGCAAATCTCAGCAAACCATCAAAGACAGATACCAGGCGAGGTATGTTCTCTGAAGCTTGAAATTGAGCTGGATTCCAGTAACAAAAATTTTGAAATTAAGAAATGTAGTTCTAAATAGCACAGAGACTAAAGAAGAAATCATAATAGATATTAGAAAATATATGGAACACACATTCCACCTATCAGTGTCTGGGATGTCACTAAAGCCGTGCTTATAAAGGGAAATTTATAGCTTTCAGTAAATATTAAAAACAAAGAAAGCTAAAAATCGGTGAGTTAAGTATCTAAGAAGTTAGAAAAAGAACAGCAAATTAAACCAGAGAAAATAGAAGAAAGGAAATAGTAAAGAAAATAATGTAAGTTAAATAAATAGAAAAAATATACATTCAACAGAAAGGATCAACAGATGCGAAAGTTAGTTCTTTGCAAAGATGAACAAAATTGATAAACCTCTGGAGGGACTGATCAGGAGAGAGCAGAAGGAGGAGAATGAAGATGATGAAGTTAGACAACTCTTGAGAGGTTTTGCTGAGAAATGGGGCGGTGGCTGGAGGGCGGGGCCACGAAGTCGAGAGGAAATGTATAAAGGGGGACGACACTACAATTTGTTTGTTGTAAGGACGTTTGTTCGTCTAACAGATATTTTTGAGCATCTGCCGTGTGCCAGCATTGTCCCGCCCACTGGAGATGCATCAAGTTAACAACAGGGCTTGAGCCCATCGAGCTAGGAAGAGACAGGCAGCAGACAATGAGCGCAACGATCAGTGATGTAATGTGGGAAAGTGATACATGCTAGGGAAAGAAAGGGAGTGGAGCGAGGGCACGGGGCTGGGGGGCCAGTGGATGAGGGCTCCAGTCGGGGAGTGGCCTTCGGGAAGAGTGGACAGACACTTCACCACTGTCCACCAAGGGGGTGGCAGGCTACATGTGCTCAGATGCAAGGAGGCGGGGGGGGGGGGGGCGGGGGGTGAGGACCTGTGGAAATTCTGTTCCTATTATTTCTGTATTTTCAGTTAAACTATTTCCCATGGCTCAAAATATAATTTGGTTTGTTGGTCTTGTCTTGTATGACTGGTTTAGATTTTCTTTTGCTGAAGCTCATTAAAGTTGGCCCCTTACCCCTGGCAAAGAGTCATCTGCTCTAAGCTTGCAGCAACTCAAACCCGACTGCAAGTCCCTTGAAGCCTGGGCTGAAGTTCGCAGAGTTCTTTGGTCCTACAGATAAGCCCACGCGTGCCCGCAACGCTTCTCCGGGGGTTCCTCACTCGGGCTGCGGTGGGAGGGCTTCCAACACGAGATTTCAGGAAGGGTGTGGCATCTTGCAGTACGCAGCTCTGTTGCCCGCCTGTCTTGGAGACCAGCTGTGGGTTCAGTTTCTTAACAGTGGAAATAGTGTATAATAAAATTCCCAAAGCAGTTACCTGTGCTTCCTTCACGAGGTAAACGCAGCGCAGCCCGCAAGGCCCGAGATGCCGGCTGTAGCTTTGGTTCGTGTAAAGAATAGTTGGTTTGTTGCTATTGTTGTTTGCGGCAGAGGGGGTGTGGTGCAGGATTACGTCTCTCACTGGCTGAAGACAATAGGGAGGTCCCATCCCAAAAAGGCAGCTGCAATTTAAATATCTGTCTCTGGATTATACAGACCTTGGTAGCAGAATTCTTCCAGAGGCGTTTTAGAGCCAGCCCCAACAGGCCCTCTAGTCCACGCTCAGAATCCCCCCACGCTCCCTCCCATGCACAGGGTTTCCCAGGTGGTAGGAGGATCTGATTGGCTGACGACATTAACATTTACCAGGCTCTGCTCATTCTTTTTTCAGAGATGCCATAACAAAAATGAAAGATGTTTACCTAAAGAATCCTCAGATGGGAGACCCAGCCAGTTTGGATCACAAATTAACAGAAGTCAGCCAAAATATCGAAAAGTTGAGACTAGAGGCCCAGAAATTTGAGGTATGAAAAAGCTGTTGTGGAGAAGCTTTGTTGGAGAAAAAGAAACGGAAGAAGGGATGGGTGTCATGAAGGGCGTGTTGTGGAGCGCCAACATTTCTCTGAGAGAGACGGCTTGGAAATGGCGCCGTGTTTCATGATTTAAGGGAAAATATGCCGTCATCCATTGAGCGTCCTGCTTTTCAGCATATCCTATTTTAATTGTGTCTCTAAAACTCACACTGTTTACAGCTGCATTTGTACACGGTGTTGCTTTTAATTTAAGTTTTAAGTTTGTTCTGCTTCATTTCATGTTGATAGCGGATGCAGTGGGAGTGTACAATTGTTCGTCATTTCAGTAAATCAAAAAACAATTTTAAAAAATCACTTGAAATATGCTATTGTTCTTTCAAAGGACCCATTATCAAAAGGTTATATATATATATATATATATATATATATATATATATGAAAACCAATAAGAAACGGAAATGAGAAATGACTAGGAAACACCAATAATAAGTGTTTTAAGGAGAGAGGGGAGCACCCAAAGGCTGTGGGCAAAAGTCTTCTTTTTTCCCCCTAATTTAAAGAGGTCTCCAGAGCATGGAAGAAGAAATTAGTAACCGATCATTCCAATCAGGATAGGTTATTGTGGCTTTTTTCATTCTTCCTAGAATCTGTTGAAAGTTTTTAATGTTTGAGTTTTTAGAACCTGGAAATGTCCTTTTCTGGTCATTTTTATTCCTCTGCCTTTCGAATAGCATGACTATTTCAAATTTTGCTGATTTTATTTCCTACGTATGAGTTTCTTCATTATTAAAAAAACGTTACACTTTTAAAAATATGGGAAGTATGGCTTTCAAACTTAGTCACTGCCCTAGTGTGGCAGTCCCCTTGTGTTTCCCAGTGTGACCTCACGGTCACAGAATTTCTGGAACCAGAAGGAACTAGAAGTGATTTATCCAAAGCCACACAGCTGTTTAAAAAGCCCAAGAGTAGAACGTGGTCCGGGGTTCCTTCTGCCACAATGCAAGCGATTGCCTACATCTAAGTTTGCTCCCACTTCTCCAGCTGGGGGTGAAATGGAAACAGTTGCCTGTAGGAGCATTTATACAGTGAAAAGCAAAAACACCGGAGGCTCCACCCTGATGTGGGCCTTCTCGAATCAGCTTCACTGACCAACGAGCAGCCCAAATTGGGGGCCTTAAGACTCCCTGCTCAGGCGCTCAGCTGAGCTCAGGCCAGGGTCTGTCGTGGCATTTGTTTCCAGGCGTGGCTGGCGGAGGTTGAAGGCAGGCTCCCAGCGCGCAGCGACCAGGCCCGCCGACAGAGCGGCATGTACGACACCCAGAGCCCAGCGACCGTCAACAACTGCGCCCAGGACCGCGAGAGGTACAGTATCTGCACAGGGCCTGCTTTCGAGCAAGGGAGCAATGTTACTGTGTATTCGGTTCTCGACTCTGGAATGTGGAAACGAGCATAAGGCGCTTGTTAGACACCAAAGTGCCTGTGATGACGGATCTCAGGTTCTCTCCCCGGTGCAGGGTTCTGATACCACATGGGAGGGTGACAGAGCATGGGGGGTGATTTGAAGTGGCCTTAGTTACGGCACTTGGGGGCCTCAAGCACTTTGCTCTCAAGGGGGCTGGACTGGAGTCCTCCCGGGGGCAGTCGCTATAGTTGCTGTGTGTCTTCCTCTCTTGAGCAGCCCGGATGGCAGTTACACGGAGGAGCAGAGTCAGGAGAGTGAGGTGAAGGTGCTGGCCACGGATTTTGACGACGAGTTCGATGATGAGGAGCCCCTCCCTGCCATAGGGACTTGTAAAGCTCTCTACACCTTTGAAGGTAACACACGTGCCAGCCCAAGGCCCCCACTTTTCATAAACTTCCTGTGTCACTCTTCTCTTTCTCGGATCACACCTTCTTTTGAAGCCTTCCAGATCTTTCTCTGCTACTCTCTTGCTCTGCGCATAGTATTATTGTCGTTTGGTCGACGGCTGTCTGTTTTGCCCTCTGGTCTGTGCAGTTTAACACCTTCCAATGAGCTTAATTACAGCAGATGGCAGGGAGTAATGACTGTCTCACCCGTGCGTTCAGTTCTCGCAGAGCCCCTGTCCCGTAAAGACCCCTGAAGGGGTGGGATGCGGGTGGGATGCTGTGGCATCTGCCTTGGACACACATCCTACAGGGGACAGCCTGCAGGATTTCCCAGAGGAGGGGGAGAGAGTGATGGGGGCTTCCTGGGGGCGTGAATCACTACCTTCACAGAACTCAGAGAACTCTCTGTGCAGCCATGTCTCAGAGGAACAGGCATTGCCAGCCGTGGAGGTGAGGAAAGCATGGGGCTCCTGTGGCTGGAGCCCAGATGTCTTAGGTGCTACTAGTGGAATTTGAGATGAGAAAGTAGGCAGTGTCAGTGGGGAGGTGGGTGTGAGAGAAACATGTGGATTTTACTTGGCAAGCATTGAGGAACTATTCAAAGTATCGCGGGTGTTGACACGCTCAAAGCTGTACCTTAGGCCATTTAGTGTCATGTGTAAGTTCAATCAGAAAACAGGGATAACGGTTGGAAAGATTAGCCTGGTGTTTCCTAAACCGATGAACCTTGAAATGATGTCCTGAGAATGTTAATAAGGATGCTACGAAAGAAGCAATCAGAGCTCAGAGAAGTTTGGGAAGCCCTGGGATCAATGAATTTTACAGATTTCTTTACTACAGGACTTTTCAGAGCCTTTGATAGACTAAATGTTCATTGTGACAAAACAAGAAAGAGAAGTACCAGGTTAAATGTTCCCCGTGTTACTTCATGTCCTCAGGCCCCCCTCAGCCCCCTCAGCCCCCACAGTGCCCCCCCGTCAACAGCTCCCGAAACAAGCGGCCTTTCAGAATACGGTTCGGGCAGTGGTGGCTCGTCTTTTGACATTATCTTAGCAGATGTCTTGGGGGCCTCAATTAGGGAATGGACACAGAGAGCCGCAGTCAACAAACTGCTCAGCCTGGTGGCTGACTGGAAGTCGGGAAGAAAGAGGGGAGGAAATCACAGATGAGTCCCGAAGTTGCATTCCCGGGACAGTGGCAGTCCAGTGCATGGGAAAGCAGGGGATCTAGTTGGGGAGGAACAATGACGAGTCCAGGTTAACCCATGTTGCGTGTCAGGAGTCAGGCAAACACCAAGGTGTGCTTCAGGCAGAAGGAGAAGTGGAACCTTAGGCACAGACAAGAACCAGCATGGGAGAAAGGAGTGGGGATGAGGTGTAATTGAGGCCATGGGAGTCCTTTCACCCCAAGAGAGAGATGCAAGAGGGAAGAAGAGAAGAGAAGAGGACCAAAGACTTCCCTTGGGGAGAAACTGCTGTTCTGGGAAGAGGAGGGCTCCTTGGAGGAGGAGAGAAGGGTCCTTAGAGAGATGCAGGGTGAGGACCTGGAAGCTTCCGGGACAAGGAGCGAAGGACCAGAGCATCCGCGTATGCGCCTCGTCTTGTACCACACTTGTTTCACTGCAAAGCCCCGTTTGCTCTCGGTCTGGATTTGACGAGAAAACTAAAATATTCCAATATTGCTTTTTCAGGTCAGAATGAAGGAACCATTTCAGTAGTTGAAGGAGAAACACTGTACGTCATAGAGGAGGACAAAGGTGATGGCTGGACCCGCATTCGGAGAAGTGAAGATGAAGAGGGTTATGTCCCCACTTCCTACGTCGAAGTCTATTTGGACAAAAATGCCAAAGGTGCTAAGACTTATATTTAATACAACTTTGAAACATTTTTTTAAAAATTGGAGTTGTTTCTCCCCACACCTGTGACTGTTCCAGGCACTTCTTCAGAAGCCTGGATGGACGGCACCGCAGTCTATGTCCCTGTGGCCACACGGTGGACTCATAGGCATCTCACACCTGAATTTCCTTGGTTAGTCTTGACTCTAATCAAGTTTCTCTTGTTGATGAAATTTTCTGTGGAAAGCTGCCAGCTGCCAATTTGCAACTGTGTCATTTGAAATCTGATAAACGTTTCCTCTTTCGGCAGCACCACAGATAACAAAACAAAGCTGCCTTCTAGCTTCTAATCAATATTTCTGAATTTAAAAGTCCACTTACATCATAGGGGTGCAGAAGACTTCAGTTCTCTTATTTATATCTAGTACCTGCCATAAATTGAAGTACCTTAGACTGTTACAGTTTGTAACTTAATAAATTGAACTACGCTAGTTTGTTAAATTTTATAATCATTCACTATGGAGGAAGTCATAAATAAAAGCTCCCCTTCTTAAGTAAAGAAGGAAATAAGATTCTTACATTGGTACCAAAAGTGTGTATTTTTACTTAAACGTGGTTAAGATCATTGCTAGATCATCAGGATTATCCTCTTAGGTCTATACGGTCCCGAGCAACCGACTGAAATCTGGAAAAATCTGGCTGATCACCCAGTTGATTTTTACCTATGACTGCTGATCTCCCCTCTGCCAACTGACAGAGTCGATCAGATGTGCTAGTGCTTTTAGATAAACTTATATAAAAATGGCGCACTTCATTCTGTTCTGTTGGAAGTTTTGTGGCAACTATTCAGCTCACACCTCCCCAGCTGGGGCTCTAAATAGAACCCAGGGCAGCAGCAGCTGTTTCTACACACAGACCCCTGCACGTCACTTTTCAAAGATGGGATTGTGTGTGTGTGTGTGTGTGTGTGTGTGTGTGAGGAAGATTGGCCCTGGGCTAACATCTGTTGCCAATCGTCCTCTTTTTGCTTGAGGAGGATTGTCCCTGAGCTAACATCCGTGTGAAACTTCCTCCATTTTGTATGTGGGCCATGGCCACAGCATGGCTTGATGAGTGGTGTGTAGGTCCATGCCCGGGATCCGAATACGTGAATCCTGGGGGACGCCAAAGTGGTGCATGCAAACCCAACCACTATGCCACCAGGCCAGCCCCAGGACTTTTTGGGTTTTTTTAATCATTGGCATCTTTAAAACCCGAAGTGTGAATTTACTGAAAATTGTTTTAGAATTTCCAGTTCATTTTATATAATCAAGTATAGCCAGAATAAAATAAAATGTTTCCCCATCTTTAAAGGAATCTGGGTCACATGGGGATTTGCATTTTTAAATTGGCCAGACAGGTAGCGAAGTAGTCGGTCACATGCATAGAGGAGTACCGAGCCCAGGGTTCGTGCCCATTTTGAGAATCTGCCCTGAGATCATGGAGAATCAGCTATAAGTGGGTCAGAATGAAGATGGTGGGTTGAGAGTCTCTTTTTATTTGGCTTTGAAAATTATTCATGTCAAATAGGAAATTAGCTCCTTGCCTTTACATTGTGGGCTCCTTTTATAAGCTCAAGTCCATTTAGAGCTGATTCTAAAAGGGACAGCAGCCTATCGGGGGCTGGGACTCAGCAGGAGTGAGGGGGTGCTGGCTGCAGATTCTAGCAGAAAGGTCACTGACATTTCACAAAGGTCACCAAAGTGGAATTCAGTCACCTTTACTTAAGACAGCTTGATTTTTAAAATGCTTTTTATTTTTAAATAATTATGGATTCTCAGGAAGCTGCAGAGGTGGTACAGAGCAATCCCGTGTGCCCATCCCCCAGTGTCTCTCCGTGGTTGTATCTGCCACAATTGTAGTACAGGATCAAAAGCAGGAAACATTGATTTTTTAAATATTACTTTGTAATTCACATCTCTTTTGAATTATTATACCTTTGCTGACATGATATCGATAAGGCCACTCAAGGAAATCATTTCAGGTCTCCTTTTCAAGTATTGCAACAAGCAAGTCAACTGACCCTTACGCCAGAGAGATTTGTTTCCATGAGCAGTAGGTGGTCACAGCTGTGGCCATGTCACCAAGCGAATGGGAGACTCGAGTTAATAAAATCCGACCTTTCTATCCCACGATGAACTCATTTCCAGACTATGAACTATTGGAGAAAGTGAACTCAGTGCTGAAAAAGTCTTAAACAGGGCAAGACATTAGCCTTTTAAAAGCCTGCCTTGAAAAGGACGGCATTCCTTGAAGTTGGGTTTTTTCCTTAGAGTTGTGCAAATTTGATTCAGAAGATCCCTCAGTAGGCTCCAGGGGCCGGTGGGTGGTCTGATCCTTAGGAAGCTGTGTGCCTCCGGGCGGGTAACAGATGAGTCTCTGGAATCTGTCTCAACAGTGAAAGATATGTTGCCGGTCTACTTCCGGCTCCTGAATGCGGGAAGCGTTAGAAAAAGCATGGGAACAATTGCCAGAGAAGTAGGATTTCCATTTCCACCCAAAGTATACTTTGTTTCTTCCAACAGTTACCTGTTAAAAGCAGGCTTGTTTATGAAGTTTTCTCCTTTTATTTTAGAGACAATGTACATGTGGAAGCCCTCTTCCCTACCTTGTTGATACATCTGTTCCCCACAGACACGACCCCTAAACCCATCCCAGCGGGCGGGGCTGCCGCTCCGATGCCCTGTACTCAGAGCAGGAGGCTCATTTTCCGCAGTGGGGGGGGGCTCTTTTTGGTGTGTGTGGTGTCTACGATGTGACGATTTAATAACTGCCAAAATATTTAGACTAGAGCAACTTCCACTTGGTCAACTGGATTGTGACTGTCCTCTTTGATGGTTGTGCTTTTGAAAATTGCTCTCTGTTAAATATGTCCCTAATCCCCCACCCCATATATTTGTATATACTGCCATTTAAAAACTAAAAGGATGACTTGAATTCGTTGTTTTAACGTTTGACTCTTTTATCTGTTTGTTTTATTGCTGATTCTGCTGCCTAATGACCTTTCTGCTTTGTAAGGCGGCGGGGCAGCGGCCCGGACTGTTACCCTGTAGCTAGGCCCCCTGCCGGCTGCTCCACACTTGAGTTTATTATAGACACTTGGGTTCTGAGTAAGTTTGTTTGACTATGGCCACCATGATTGTTTCTCTCTATTCTTATCCTAAAAGAAAAGAATCTGTCTGGCACCTTTTAGTTGTACCCTCATATCTGCCTCTCTAATAAACATTATATTTTTCTCAGTGTTGTGTATTTTAAATGATTTTTCTCCTTTCTGAGAAATTTCTTCGGTGTAATACAAGCATTTAACTCTTTCGTCTTCAGTAATGGGGGATTTCCTAGCCAAATGCTTTTTTAAAATTCTGCCTCTTCCCTCCTTTGAAATGATGACACCTTCTCTGTGTTTCCTGCACCTAAGGGCTCAAGGTCTATCTCTCTTGTTCCTTCTACCCCATAAGATGAAGAACTTTCACTGGTTATTGCTAAGTAAACATTGGATGACAAGTTTTTCTTTTCACCAAAGATTTTACATTTTACTGCTAAAGAACCAGAGTGTCAACCAGAGAGAGAATTGGCCCTTAAGTTCCTTCCATCTTTCTGGGGAGCTGGCCCCATCTCCTTCTTTCTCTCGAAACTCAATTTATTAGAAAGATGAGTTGGGTGGACGGGTGCATCGTCATCCATCTGGGCTTCTCTGACCCCGAAGGAAAGATGAGCTACTGACTGGACACAAAACCGTGAAAGTTCCTTATCTCGGATGTGCCCTGTGGTAACCAATTGCTCTAAAAACGCCCCGCCCCTCCCACCTCCCCCTCCCAGGGCGGGCAGCTTGGAGCAGAATGCCCGCCCCTGATGCTGGGCCTTCCTCTCTGACAGTGTTTTCTTTCTCTTTCTTTTTGTGTTGTAGATTCCTAAAGGTGGCTGTGGAGCCAGAGCCTCCGGAAGTCTTCCCAGGAGAAACCCTTCGGTCTGCTTGTCTCCACAGGCCCCGCTGCCCGCCCGCTCGCCCGCCTGCGTGATCAGACTGCCCCCCAGGCTGGGCTGGAGTGTGGCCCTCAGAATCTCAGCCTGAAGTGACGTCCCCACGCCATGCAGCTGCTTGCCTTTTTCCTTCTTTTCTTTTTACAGCATGCTCCTCATGGCCCAGCTCCTCCCATGGCCCAGTCTGGCCGCCTCTTTGGGGGCAGGTCTGTCCCCATTCTGGTCCCCACCCTGCACAGGGCTGTGGAAGGCAGCCAGACATGCGTTCCCTCCTTCCAGGGCTCCTGCCTCAGCCCTCAGTCCACCCGGCGTGTCCTGGCCCGTCCAACGGTTCACACTGTGCCTTTTGTGAAAACTTTGCCACTGGTCTCCTGGGGAGACTAACAGAATCTGGACAAGGAGGGTCAGTGCGCCAGGTGGACTGAGTGCCCGAATGTCGTTGATGCGTTCCCACATTGTTTACGTTAGAAAATCCTCGTCTTTTCCCAAGTCCATTGAGTATTCCATGGTCCTTTTCTGATTACGGGTCCTCACCTCACGCTAAACATTGGCCCTTGCAACATTTCACGGCCTCAGCATGTCCGTGGTGTGCACTGGGGGATGCACACGCACATACATGCACACACCTGCATGCACATGCACATACATGTACACACCTGCATGCACACACACACATACATGTGTGCACACACACATTTTTGTTTGGGGCCCTGTCTTCAGTGGAGGTCAAATTCTAGCTTGTGGGCCAGCCCTGCTGTCGTGACTCTGTCCCCCTTTCATGGGGTCAAGGAAGGCCCCAGGCCACGCGCTCCCCGTTAATGAGAACTGCAGATCGCGGTGCTTTGTGAATGAGTGCCTCGCCTCTGCGTTCGCTCCTTGCACAGTAAAAATCCCCCTTTCCATCAATTCCAAGATTTGCCTCTTAGGATTTTAGTGCTTTTGTCACCAAAGACCCTGTGCTTCTTGTCCTTCAAGTGGTCCTGTGGCTGCAGCTTCTGCGTCTTATCCCATGTTCTTCAGGCCACGCGGAATTAATTGGATTTGCTTTTTGAGCTCAGTTTCCTTCCTCTTATGGATCTGTGAGGAAAATGTGAGGTCATGTGGCCTGTGGCCACTCATGCCTTAGAGCAGCGTAGCTTCTCTTCTTATCTGGTGCAGAAACAGTCAAGAGAAATCATTGGCTGTGAGTTTCTGTCAATGAGAACGCCATCCACGAAGCCCAAGGATGAAATCGAGCATCTTTCTTCTCTTGTTTGGCTTTTGGTAACTAGGTGGTCACCTTGAGCATCCTCAATTCTTTTTGACATTTGTGAATCTAAGACAAGGAAGTCTTACAGGCGCCGAAGGGCCTGGGAGAGAAATGGCAGGTCCTAAGTGCTGGGTCTTCGTTCAGTGAGAACAGACTTTCAGTGAGAAAATGGTTGCCCTCAGCAGACTGGCGTGGACCACGCACCCTCCAGGAGCCCCCCGGTGACTAGAAACGAAGCAGATGCCAAGGGGAAGGAGGGGAAGAGGAAGTGGCTTCAGGTTTGGAGCCAGCGAGCAGGAGCCCTCTGTCACTGCAGTGAGGCCGGGGCCGGGGCCGAGAGCTGCCTGCTCTGCAGCCATGCGTCTCAGGGCTGCTGCGTTCACCGGGGCTTCCGTTCCCCACTGTGCGCGGCCCACGTGTGGTCCCCATCAGGACAGACAACACTGAAAGCAGGATGCCAAACAGCGAGAGGAGTCAGGGCCTCACCCGTGTCCCTGCAAACCAACAGGTGTGTGGTTGACCCGGCCATCCCAGTGGCTCCTCGAAGGCTCCTCCGTCAGCAGAGTGACCAGGTGTCACCAGGAACTCCCAAATCCCACCAAGTCCAGCCAACCACTCTCCGCAAGGATGCTACATGGTTCCACAGTCAGGTTTCAGAGCCTCCGTCATGCATGCGCATGGCATCGCTCATGTTAGGGGTCAGGATAGGTTACTTTCCGCCGCATAGGGAGCAAAGGTGTGGGCTGCAGCACCTGGCCTTTTAAGGTCTGTTAAACCCAATCTAGAACATGCTTGGCCCCTCTTGTATCCCCTGCACTTGTTTTTTTCCTCTGTATCACCTGTGTCCAAAAAAGAACAGAGATGAGTGCTTCTCAGTGTTAACCTTTGCTTCTCCGCCAGCCCGCGCGGCCGTGTGGAAAGGGCAGTGCTGTACCCGCTGGGCTTAGTAAAGGAAATCAGTTATTCTAGGATAGTCGAGCTATATCATTACTCTGGGAATCCGACTGTGAAGTCACCGGTAGATGATTGCGGAGCAGTTCACATAGAGTAGAGACGTGGGGTCTCCCACCTGCTTCGCGGCGTCCCCTCAGATCCACCGCACGTCATTTCTCCACCAATGCTAGAATACTGTTGTGTTGTAAGAATTACTAGTTTTTAAAGAATCTGCCCTGAAAACGACTTGACTTAACAACAAAGTGCAAGAGAAGAACTTATCATTTACCCAGTTTTCCCCTGCAGGATGGGAACATACGAAGGCAGGGAAAGCCGGGATGGGATTTTCCTTCGGCTCTTTATCACGCTCCGCCTGCAGCCACCCGGCGGTGATGCCCAGGCGAGAGGCTGTAGCCTGGCCCCCCAGCACAGGCCTCTGACGCCTTTGGGTCACATCTGTAATTGCAGAAGGAAGTTGACTGAACATGAAATAGTTATGTTGAGGCTAAGTATTTTTCCAGAAGTTTTGCTTTCAGACTTCCTAATGGCTCTGCCTCCTGGGCTTCTGTCATCGAAAAACTGCTTTAAAAGGTGATCCGAAATTCTGTTTTAACCTGATGTTGAACACCTTTAAACGTGAGGGTTTATTTGTGTGTGTGGCGCTAATTCTAACCTTTGGAGGCATTTCAGTGTTGTCAATGGCCCATTGGCATTGGAAAGGTTCTGGAATCGCCCATCTGTCTCTGGAGATGGAATTAAACCAAATACAGTGCTTCCATTGGAAGGCTTCTGTTGACCTTGTAACTATATGTTAATCCTCTAAATGTTAAATAAAAATATAACTTCTGGCACCGTATCCCGGGATGGTTTTGTTGCACCGAGATGACCCCGGTCACTGAGGCAGCCAGAGTTCCTGGGGCCCAGCCCCAGTCTGCACCTCACCGACTTCCTGTGTAAACCCAAGACAAGCCGTGCAGCCATCTGCCTGGGGAGGGGCTTGAGAGCCAGCCAGCTCTGCAGACCAGCCCACCCACGGGGGGAAAGCTGTCAGAGATGGTCAGGTGGGATCCAGGTGGCCTGGGCCCGGGATTTGGGGAGGCTGCTCATGACCGGGAAGTTTTTTTGCTGCAGATTCAGCTGGCAGCTACTCTAGCTTTTCAGGGACCCTGCTGTGGGGGCGGGGAGCCCTGAAACAGGAGCGTGTCTGCATTTCGTTGGCGGTCTGGTGTCATCAGTGCTCAAGCCCCCCCTCTTGGTGGCTCAAATCGCTGGTTTCTGTGAAGCCGCAGACAGTGTGCAGGTTGAAGGGGGGGGGGGGGCCTCGTGCCCAGCCCCCACTGGACATATGTGGTGGGAGACCCTTCTGTCACCAGCATTGGAAATCTTGCCCCAGGCTTTCGGGCGAGATGCGCTTGGTTAGCATCCACGCCTATGTCCGAAGGCTCTGTAGGGGCCATGGTAGGAAGACCATTGTCGAGGGGGTGAAACACGAGCAGCCACCCTGGGCGTGAGCAGGGCAGCCTCACTAATGCCAAGTGTGGACTCACTTGCTGAGGGGTGGGAAGTGAGGCCACCAGTAAGAGCCTGGCCTCGGCCTCCCCCACGACGGACGTGAGCGGCCTTCGATCACCCTCAGGGAAGGCGAGGCTAGGAAGCCTGTTCCCAGCACGCTCTTTCTGGGCTTTGTCTCGTTCCAGGAATAGTCTCCGAGGGTCTCCGCAGAAGACATGGAGCGTCTCCTCCTGTGTTTCTGAGAACCTCCCTTCCCTGCAGGGCCTCCGGCGCTGGGCTGGGAAACGGCTCTGCTGACGGGGGCGTGTGGCCTGGCCTCTGCGGGCCTCAGTCTCCTCGGGGAGCTGCTGTGAGAATGGGAGGCACTGGGCCAGCCTGGCAGCGGCTCTCAGACATCAGCTCTGAGTCAGAGCTTGCTCCCAGCCCCAGTGATGGCGTTTGTCACTCTGATGCGGGGACAGACTCCACAGCTCGGGGCTCTAGGACTTGCCCCTGTGCCCAGGGGTCTGAAACACGGAGACGCTGCCCGGCTCGTCCCATGTGTGTGCACCTACCTGGTTCAGTGTTTGGGGCAGTCGGCACCTCACCCCACCACACACCTGAGCCTTCTGGTGACCCACTTCCTCCCCTCTGGGGTTGCAAACGGTGGCAGCAACCCAGAGCCGTGCTGCCGGACAACTCCCTTCCCCGTGCTCTCTCGAGGGGAGGGCGGCCTCTGTAGGCACGGAACTGCTGACTCAGAAGGTTCCAGTGATGCTGCAGACCTGTCAGTCAGGCTCCTCCGGCTGGTATGGGAATCGCACCAGCCGCCCAGGGCAGGCCTGGCGGGCCTCCCTGGCCTCCCCCACCTGCCAGCCTCGCCCAAGTCGCCAGATCTGCTGCACAGGGCCCGGGGCGACCCCTAGTGGAAGAGAAGTCCGAACGTGCGAGGAGAGAAGGGTCCCTAACAAGGTGGCTAGGGATGAAACAGAAGTGGGCAGAGGCAGGGGACTTCAAGTGTGTTCCCTTTTTTCTTAAAACAAAAGAGATCGGTGGGATCGTGAAATCTGTGGGACAGCCTGGAGATCACCCTTTGAATTACTGCTGCAAAAGATGGATGGTGTGGGTCTGAGTGAGGGAGGCGCAGGGGAGGCCGGACAGCGACAAACAGCAGGCCCAGCCCCGTGAGGATCAACGGCCCGTGTGTCCTGCGAGGTGAGGAAGTCCAGTGCCCGGCCAGCCACCCGCCTGGAAGAGGCCTCTCGTTGCCCAGCCTCTGCTGTCCTCCTCTGAGAAGGGAAGCCGTGAGCACTCTGCAGTGTCCTCAGACCCGGGATCACAGGTGCCGGAAGAACAAAGGGATTTCCTCCTTCCCCTCTGCTGGCCCGGAAGCAGCGGGGGCGGGCAGGGTCCTCCAGGGCCTGCAGCATCCTGCTGGGGAGCCCAGTGCCCCTCGCTGCACACAGGCTCCCGCTGCACCAGGCTGAGCCTGCCCCGATCCTGTGGAACCCTGTCCCCAGTGCTGGCTCTCCAGACACCCCCAACCTGGGCTGCTCGCTGGTGTCAAATCCAGGGAAGGCCTGGAGACTGCATCCTAATACACCCCTGGGGCGGCTTTCCAGAACACGCTCCATCCAAAATGTTGACTGCGGCCGGCACCTTCTCTACGACCAGCACATGCCTCTCTGCTGTGGGTCAAGTTGTAGCAGAGAAAAGAGCCAGACGGAGGCAGGGTTCCAGGAGACAACTTCCTCCCGAAGGCACTGGGGCTCAAACGCGGCAGTGTAAGGCTCGCACGGTAGTTCATGTTGCCTGAATTCAAACTAGAACAAAGGTGGGAAGCTCGCTTTCAGGGGGGCTGCACCTGGCACATGCTTTTCCCATGCAGCTTTGTGAGCACAAGTGCAGGCAGACCGAAGGGCTACAGACCCAGGCCGCAGGGGGCCCGCAAACTCCTCAGGCTGCAGGGGTGGCTCCTGGCTCCCTAAGGGGCTGCTGGAGCCAGTCCTGGGCCAGCCCCGGGGAAGAGCCCAACGGAGGGGACAAGGGGACATCGTGGGGAGCAGCAGACCACAGACGGCTCCCCTGCAGCCCCGCGCTTCCCGGCTCCGCTCCGTCCATGAGGTGAACCAGCACAGACTCCTGCTTTGTGTTCAGATTCCAGCATCTAAGTTTGGCCAAGCTACTGAAAAGCCTGGTGTTTCAAGGGAAAATATAAAGGAAACATTTGAAGGCCAACAGGTACCTACGTATTTCTCTCGCAGCTTCCTGTAGTACCATAAATGAATGTCCCCAAACCTCAGAAATCAGTCAACCCTCCAGACAGATCTTCTGCCTTCTCACCTCCCACGGTACCTAAGAAAAGCCAGGCAAACCTGTACCTCGGGATTCCACATAAACAACGTTCAAACGGGAGCAAATCGAAAACTACTACTTAGACACACACGCATGTGTGGCAACACGAGAAAGTGAGGAGAGAGGAAATGCAGGCAGAGTTACTCTGGGGTGGGGCACAGCGGGAGACGTGATCAGGCGGCCCTGGGAGTTCCATGGACCCGGGAACGGGACAGACCCCAGGGCGGCACTGTCACCATTTTATCATTCTTTATAGTGAACACATTTCTGCACACTCCTGTCTGATGAGATTTCACAAGGAATGTTTAAATACATAAAAATCTCAAGTTATTCTCTCCCTGCCAAAACCCAAAAAGTATAAACAAAACCAACCCAAACCGCAGGGACTGTAAAAGGCCAGCACCACTAAAGGTCAGGGAGCTCCCAGTGCCAGACACCAGCAACCGCGATGGAGGCGCCAACGCCCACCGTCAGCCCAGCGACGGCTACCCTCCAGCAGCAGAGCCCTCGCCGCGGTCAGGGAGGGTGACCCCTGCTCCATGGCAGCTCTGACATCGGAGCAACTGAGCCCACGATGCAGTGCCAGCAGGGGACCGGCCTGTGGGATGCGCTGGCCTCATCCTCCGACCACAGCTGGCCCCACGTCTCTGGGGTCGGGGCTGGTTCCAAGAAAGGAAAAACCCATGCGGCCGGGTGTTTAAGGCGGCTCGGCCTCCTCTTCCGCTCTGCAGCCTCCAGAGGCTCTCTCGTTTCAGGGAGCCCTGCACAGCCCCCTCCCAGGCCCAGGTCCGGGCATTTGTAATGTCGGTCGCCATGGCTCCCGGCCCCCCCAACCCGTCCCCAGCCCCCGAGACGGTGGATCCCCCTCCCTCCAGTAACAGAATGAAGGGCAGTGGATGCGGAGACAACAGCGCGGGCTGTGGGGAACGCGTATGTATTTATTATGACATTCTGAACACAAACGAGACCACACAGACGTGGGGTGGGATTACAACCTGCACAGCGGGATCCCTGCGACACCCACAGTGCAGCATGCAGCCGCCAGCTCTGCAGGGGGGCGCCGCTGGCTGCAGAAGCAACTTTCAAAGGACTGTGGCACATGTCAAGAAATCCCAGCAGTGGCTTGCTCTTTGCTCACGTGCACCTCGGTGGGGAAGGGACCAGAGTCCGTAACCCGAGATCACAGAAGCGAGCACCGTGTTTGCGAGAGCTCGAAGGGACCCTGCCAGAACTGCCTGCTGGAATTTCCGCCAAAGCCTGCTTCTAGAGACTGAAGGCCACGGTTTTGGGGGGTCTCATCCTGGGACCCTTCCCAACCCCCCGTTGCTTCGGCCCTGACGAGGTGAGCATCTTTCCCCAGCTGCCTCGTCCAGGGCTTCAGTGCCAGTGGAGGCAAGACTCAGACTCCTGTGCCTGGTGGTCCCTGCGCTCAGCAGCCGCCTCGCTCAGCATCCAGAAGACACAATTCCGGGCCGTGCGTGCGAGAGCTGCCCCAATGCCACCCCTCCCTGGGCCAGGGCTCTACCCAGCTCGGTGCTGGGGAGAAAGGGGAAGTACATTTTCTCTGGCGTCAGCCACCAGGGAAGCTGCGTTAACAGCAAATGAGAGCAAGGCGAGGTACTCCTGTTTCATCATCCCGCTCCCTAGCAGAGGCGAGTTACAGCCAATCCCTGGGGCCAGCTCAGCAGCACAGGGGGAGAGGAGGCCGGCTGCCTCCAGGAACAACCCCTTCTGACAGAAATCCACCCCCGCCTTCGGGTCCCCATCACGAAGGAGTCCGGAGTCGGGAGTCTGTAGGACAAACACTGACAGCAGCCAGGATTCAGGAGCCTTTCTGTGACAAACAGGAGGTGCAGGGGTGAAGCGGGGCCTCGTAGGAACTGGCTCCAGTGACAAGCAGCAGCATCCTCACTGCCCGAGCGCTCGGCACTCTGCCCGCCACTCTGACCGTCTGCCTGCGAGTCCTGGTGCTGGCTGGACCAGGCGCCTGGGGGATGCCCGGCAAGCAGCAGCTACTCTCCACCCCTCCGTCCCAAGGCCACAGCCCCTGAGAGCTCCAGGGACAAAAGCCGGGCCCAATCGAGTGAGAGGGCGGGTTTGGGGGAAACAACGACGACAGTGACGTGTGGGCACTTCCAGGACAAAGACCCAAGTTAACATCATGGAGCCGTGGTGGTGTCAACAAGACGGAAGTGGATATATTTCCTGGCTGCAGCATTACTCACTGTGAACCAAAACAACTTTGCTGCCTCTGTACGCATCTGCATTTCCGAAGCGGCTGGCCTCTCTTCCGAGTACAAACGCACCCTCCACAGGCAGGAGGGCGAGGGCGGAGGCCTGTGGGGACACCAGGTCATCAGCCCAGGGCCCACACGAGGGTTCTTGCAAGCAGCCTCGTGGGAGGTGTGTTCAGGGACACGCTCTTCCAGCACTCAGGGGACACGGAGGGTCTCTGGAGAGTGAGGAGGGCACTTACAGACTGTCCCCCCAAGTCACACGGCCCGGGTCTCGGCTTCAATTTTCTGCTCCCCGTGCAAGCTCTCCGAGTCCTGGAGCTGGGCCACGCTCTGCCGGATGGCAAGCTCGGGGCCGCCGCCATACAGGCTGCTCAGGTAGCCCCAGGTCTCCTCTGAGATCTGCCCGTAGTCAGCTCCTGCAGAGACCAGGGGCCACCCGTGAGGCTGGGCTCGCCCTGGCTCCATCGATGAAGCCATGGTCCCGGCAGAGGGGGCTCTGGGGGCCAGGCCCCAAACGGGAGGGAGGACAACTTTGTGCAAAGCTGTTAAATGGAAATCTCAGGATTTTCCAGTAGAACACCCTTTCTCTGAGGGCTCCAGAGGGGCCGTCTCTGGCTGCTGCCCGCTTCCCAGAGCGGGGAGTCCACACAAAGGGCAGGCAGGCAAAGCCAGCAGAAGGCATGGGGAGGGGCCTGGAGGACCCACGCAGAAGCCTAGCACGGCGGCCCCCGGGCTCAGGCCCTGGGCCCAGACCGGGGTGAGGCTCAGCCCGACTCAGGCAGATGGCAAGGGGGCTCCTGGAAGGACTGTGAGTGGCAGCCAGGAGGGGCAGGGAAGAGCCCGGTGGGCCTGGGAGGCCGGGGCTGGGGCCGGCGGACTCACCCTGCTTCAGCTGGATGTGGCCGCTTCCTTTGACCTGTGCGATCCTGCTGTTGTCAATGGGCCCAGGGGGCTCTGCAACAGACACGGCACAGGCTCAGCACCTCTGGGCCCCTGAGGCAGCGGGAGGAAACCCCAGAGCCAGCCCCCACCGCGGCCCTCCACCCTGCAACAGACAGAGCCATCCTCCAGGTGTGACTGAGACACCTGTGACGCCAGAGAGGCCGTCCTGAGCCCCAGGGGTCAGCATGAAGTCCCCTGTGGTGAGGTGCTTGGGGCACCAAATGTTCATCTACAGACGTCTGAGTGCCAGAGGGCCTGGTGGCACCCCTGACCCGGCAGAGGGAATTGCTAGGACGCGCACTAGTTTCAGACCCTAGCGTGGGTGGGGGAGTGGGGAAGCCAGTGCCGTGGACGTTGCTCTAATCTCGCTGAGCAGCCCTCCTGTGTGCCCCATATCCCACGTACACCCCAACAACCATGCGAGACGAGAACGGTTTATGGAGACAGGTGACATCACCGTCCAGGTCAGAGCTGGCAGAAGACAAAGAAAGCCAGGGCCCAAGGCAGGGCTCGACTCCGAGTGGGTCCTCGACCACAACCACGCCCAACTGCCTCCACAGCACTAGGGAGGATGCCGGGGTCCCTGGTGCCCTCCCGCCCGGCAGGGCCTGGCTGGCAGTAAGGCCCCACCTCTCCCAAGTAATGGCTCGGGCTTATGCTCCGAAAGGCAAATGTCCAGCACATAGAACTTGCTGGCCCTGCCAACCCTGCCTGGCGCCAGGCCCTGGTCTGGAGCCCAAGTGTGGGGCTGGAGGGCGGTGACGGAGGCCGCGTGCAGGCCAGGGCTTGGGCTGTGCTGCCCCTTGCCGTGGACCGTGGGGACTCGGAATTGTCTGGGGATGGGACTTGTTTCCACCCACGTAAATGCAAGGGTCAGAGGACACAGTGTCCAAGTCCTTTCCTAAGAGTCTGAGGCCATCTATCCAGTAAAGTCTGTCACACAGGGCAGCAGAGTCCCCAAAGGAAGGTGCTGGCGGGAGGAGGGGCAGCCTCTGCTGGGTGTGGATGGGGGGACAGTGGGAGGGAGCGGGCGGAGCAAGACGGCTCCCGTCCCCCGAGGGCATAGGGTGGCCGGCCTGGGGTGGGGACAGTGATCCCAGCACCGGGACTGGAAGAGCACCTGTGTTCTCTGCTCCTGCGGGGCAAGTGCTCAGCTGCAGGGGTGGCCCCAGAAACCTTCTGGGCAGGCACAGGCCCTGGGCACCCCGCTGGGACTCCGCGGCACTGCCAGCAGACCCGCAGCCCCAAGTCCCTCCTGCGGGGTGGGCAGGGCCCCGCTCCACTCACCATTGTCCTTCCCCTTGACGAAGGCCTCCCACTCCCGGAACCACTGCATGCTGATGCAGTAGATGACGCTGGGTGACTCCTCCGCCTGGAACGCCTTGTTCAGCTGGGCCGGGGCCGAGAGAGGGGAAGGTCAGCACAAACGCCCCAACACCCGCCAACCCTCGCCCCCGACTCTGACAAAGCTAGATACTTCAGGTAGAAAATTCAGACGAGTTCAAAGAAAACACACACCTCCCGCAACCCCGCCACTCAAACGTCTGCCGGGAACATCCTGGTGAACCTCTTCAGTAACCCCATTGAGGCCGCGCGGTAGATGGGTTTCCTCCCCAACGGCCACAAAGAGGCTGTCTCTACTGGACCTTCTCCTGCCAGCGGGCGGGCGGGCCCCTGCCCTGAGCCCTACCAGGGAGGCCCGCAGGGCCCCGCTCCTCACACACCTGTCCCACTGCACAAGTCCCTTTCCTACGTGGGTGCTACTGGTCATGTTTAGCAATGTGCTTTTTCACGGACGGCACCTTTCCATGTCTGTCGGTAGAGCCCTCAGCAGGAGGGACTCTGGCCCCCAGGGGACACCTGCCAACGTCTGCAGGTAATTTTGGTTGTCACTGGCATCACATGAGTAGAGGCCAGGGATGCTGCTAAACATCCTACAGGCACAGGACAGCCCCCAATAAGGAATCATCCGGCCCCAACAGCAGCACCCTCTCCTCTGACAGCTACCCCACAGTATGCCAAGCAGACAGCCCTGCCCTCACTAAACCCGGCCCCTTCAGCCAGGAAAAGCCTGAGACGTCCGGCCTCCCACAGAACACATCTTCCAAACAGCCTGACTCATTCTGTCCCCCGGTCCCCACGGGTGCCCCGCACCACCCCCACCTGCACGTACCTTAATGAAGGTGTCGATCTCAATCCGCCTGCGCTTGGCCAGCGCCTCGATCTCCACCTGGCAGATGGAGCACACGTACAGATGGTTCACGGCGGGGCCACCCCCAAACCTGCACCCACGGTGGGAGGCAGAGAGACAGACAGACAGACACATGAGCCGTGAGGTGAGGGTCCTGAGGGGGAAGCAGCGGAACTTGCCAGACAGCACTCGCCGCCCTCCACTGGGCTGGCTCCTCCCCGCCAGGGGCTCCCTCAGCGCCCTGCTCACTACACTGGCAAGGACGCCTTCACGCCAGCATGCCCACAGTACCCAGCAAGTGCCTGCCCAGGGCAGGTGCATCACAAATATTTGTTTAATGGCCAAAGGATGGCTTAGGGATCTCACTTCCTCCCCTGGCTACTGGGCAGGAGCTGTGGTGGCCAAGAGGCCCCAGGCGGAACCCTGGGGACATCAAAGGGAGGTCGCAGGACGGAGGGTGGATCCCACAGTGTGTGGGGTTCTGATCCACCCACAGGCAATAGGGCAGAGTCTGCGCCTGACCTGCAAGTAGATGGGGCAAAGCCAGTCCAACGGGTGGCCAGGTACCAGCACTCCCTGGCCTCTCCCTCCTGACCAGTCTGGCCACTCTCTGGGTTATGGCACCTCCCGCCTGCCTGGCTGCAGAGCAACCCAGGCCTGGCAGGTCCTCAGCGTTCTTGGTCTTGGACTTGAACCAGGAAGGCCCCAGGCAGCACAAGCCCAAGGTGGCCCAGGCTGGGCACAGGGTTGGGGAGACACACTGGCCAGCCCACCCTGCAGCCGGCACCCCCAGGACTCTGTGAGAGGGGCCCATAGGCTTTTGCTGGAGCCAGTTTTCAGTCCCTCGTGACTGGAGGGATGACGCTGGACACCACCGCTGACGGGTGTCTCAGTGCAGACACAGCTGTACAGGAAGCCCCTGAGACTGCTTCCACGCTGGTCTGCTGCCTGAGTGGGGGCAGCGACGGGTCCCAGCGGTCTTCCTGTCCCACCCAGCTGAGCACCCGGCCTGCTCAGGGTAGGCTGGCCCTCCAGGAGAGGCTGCCCGGGGGCTGTACCTGTTGTAGAGGTGCTCCCAGACGTTCTGTGGCAGGATCACCACCAGGTCGTCGATGTAGTGGTATTTGTTGGGCGGGATGCCTGCGGAGGAAGGCAGAGGGAGGGAGAGCTGGGGGCTCGGCCCACCCACCCTGTACTCCAGCCACAGAGAGGGCGCCCTCACCTCCGTGGGAGCAGAGGAAGGTGTGGTTGGTGATGGGCCCTGGCTCAGCGAAGGTGTTGAACTTGTTGAGCCACTCTCGGGACACATAGAAGCGTAGCAGGCTGGGCTCCCGCATGGCAGCCAGGGACACGACCTGCTGCCGCTCCCGCACAGCCTCCTCGCTGCTCTTCCTGGGGCAGGGGTGGGGCGGGGAGAGGAAGGAGGGGCTGTGTCTGGGCTCACCGCTGTCCAGGGGCACCAGCCACGTCCTCTCCAGCGCTGTGTGCAGAGCCACCCACCAGCTGAGCCCCTGGGTGATCTGGCTGCATCTCAGGAGGCTCACCATCCCTGCCGGGGTTCTGGTCCCCTCACCTCCCACGAGAACCACTCTAGAAGACCCAGACTCGACTTCCTGAGTTTCCCGCTTCCCCCACAGAAATGAGGGGCTCTTTCTTAAAAACTCAAATCCTTACTCCCTGGGACCTAAAACGCCCCCAGCTCCACCATCCCCACACACCCCAGAGTAAGCCCTGGGGAGGAGGGGTAGGACATCCGGGCCCCCGGGTCACCAGGTGGGGGCCCGGTCACTGTTCTGCAGCCAGACCCAGCCGTCCTCTGACTCCCAGGGCCCACACCTGTAGAAGAGGACGTAGGCCTCGGCGTTCTGCACCACCGTCTCATGGACCTCGGTGACGTACTGATCATCGAATTCATACCACTGCCCGTTGATCACGTTTTGGCAGTAGGCGATGTAGTGACCACCTGCGCAGGAGAGGGAGACAGGTCACAGACACCCCAGGGCATGGGGACGGGGCGGGGTGGCGGGGCTAGACTCACTGCCTGCCGTGCCGTGGTGGCAGATGACCGAGAGGAGGTCGTAGGAGGTGATCTGGGACGTGCACTCCTTGGCGAGGAAGGGGCGCAGGTCGAGGCCCTCGAGCGGGAAGGAGACGTGGCTGCTGATCTTGAATGAGTACATCACCTCGTGCCGGAAGCGCTTCAGGTGGATGCACAGGATCTGCGGGCGCGGAGGCCTCGCTCGTCCCGGGCTGCCCATGGCCCTGGGAGCCCCGGTAACCAGGCGGGGGCCTCGAGGCAGGGCCCTGGGACACCCATTAGCCCACTGCTTGACCCACTCAGGTCTTGTCAGCCAGGTGGAAACAAGAAAACCAGTGGCTAGAGCCTTCTAGAAGCCCAAGCCAGCTGATGGGTCCCACCCACTGACTCCGTCTGGACACGTGGAAGAACCACGCGTGGAAGCTGAGCTGGGCTCCTTTAAGAGCCCCGATAAAGGCAGACATGATGGCAGGGCCAAGCTTCGCTAACAGGATCGGCCGCCATCTCGAGGTGGGCTGTCCCATAGCTGGCCTCGTCTGTACAGGAAGCTGACTCTCACCAGCCCGTCGAATTCACCATCCAAAGAGCTTGACACCTAGTTCCGTTGGCACTGACCTCTAGAAGGCTTCTCCACAAAGCCTTCCCAAACCCGCTCAGCACCACCTCAGGCACCCGCATCTGGGGCCACGCTCCTCTTTGCTCCAGCCACACGGGCCTGCCGTGGCTCAGCCAAGCCCGTCCTGCTTCAGAGTTTTGCCACCTGGCCCTTCCCCACTATCCCTCCATGAGGCTGACGCCTGCCTACGTCCTCAGGGCCCACTGAGACGCCACCTCCTCAGAAGGCCTTCCCTGACAGCCCCGTCGGCCAGGTGCCCTCCCCTCCCATCTGCCTTACTCTAGGTGGCACCCTCAGTGCCCCCAGGCCTGCCTTGCTCTGGGCCCTCACAAAGCATGCTGAGTGACCACGGAGCTGAGGCCACAGGCGAGAGGGTGCCAAGCTACCAACTGAAAAATTAGCCAGACCATCCCAGGAGGTCTCTCAGCCAAAGCAGCAGACTCTCCACGGGCCTCTTGAGCTCAGAAGCTTCCGGTCAGGGAGGGTCGGCCTGTGCCCTGTGCGTCCCCACCCATCAGTGTGGAGAAACCCTGGCGGGTGGCAGCGGCAAGAGGCCGTCCACTCACCTCAGGCAACCGCAGGACCTTACAGTACTTCACCCCGTTCCGCAGCCTGGGGGAGAGAGCGGGCGAGAGACGGTGAGCGACCCGCGGTGGGGGCACCCCTCCCGCCCTGGTCACCTCTCTGAGATCAGGATGGAAGTCTGGGGGAACCCAGGGGAAGCATGTGCAACACAGGTGGACCACAGAGGTTGGAAATGGGAAGTGGGGGAGAAGCCCCTAGAGTCACACACTCACTTTTTACACCGTTCACAGCTGTACATGTTGTCACCTAGGGCAGTAAAAGTGATGCAGGTTAGCAGGCACGGCCATGGGGACAGAAGTACATGTAGTGACTTATGCTTAAGAAATAAAACCACAACATGCTGCCTACAAGAGACTCCCTCGAGCTTTGAGAACACACACAGGCTGCAAGTGAAGGGATGGAGAGAGACAGTCTATGTAAATGGAAACCAAGAGAGAGCAAGGGGGCTATATTTATATCAGAGAAAACAGACTTCCCGTCAGAATCAGTTACAAGAGACAGAGAGGGTCACTGTATAGTGACAACGGGGTCAATTCATCCAGAGGACGTCACTATTGTAAATACATATGCACCCAACACCTAAATATTTACACATGCACCTGGAGCATTTAAATATTTAAAGCAAGTATTGCCGCAACTGAAGGGAGAAACAGACAGCAATACAATGGCATAGGGGACTTCAGTACCCAACTTTCAACATTGGACTGATTACCCAGACAGAAAATAAGGGAACAAAAGACAGGAATAACTCTACAGACCAAATGGACCTAAAAGACATACACAGAATATTCCATCCAACAGCAGCAGATTCTCAAGTGCACACAGAACATTCTCCAGGAGAGGTCATGCATTGGGCCACCAAGCAAATCTTAACTTTAAGAAGACTGAGATCATATCTAGTATCTTTTCCAACCATAGTCATATGAAACTAGAAACAACAGGAGGAAAACTAAAAAATTCACAAATATGTGGAAATTAAACCATATACTCCTGAACAACCGATGGGTCAAAGAAGAAATCAAAACGGAAATCAGAACGCATCTTGAGACACAAACAAAAATGAAAATACAACATGTCAGCACTTATGAGATGCAGCGGAAGCAGCCCTAAGGGAATTTTACAGCAAAAAATGCCTACATTAAAAAAAGAGAGACCTTAAACAACCTGACTTCACACCTTAAGAAATTAGAAAAAGAAGAATAAACTAAGGCCGAAGTTAGCAGAAGGAAGGAAATAATAAAGATTAGAGCTGAAATAAATGGGACAGAGACTAGAAAGACAATAGAGAAAAATCACTGAAACTAAGAGTTGGTTTTTCAAAAAGATAAATTGACAAACCTTTACCTAGATTAACCAAGAAAAAAGGGAGAGGACTCAAATAAACAAAATTATAAATAGAGGTGGGTACTGACAACTGACACTACAGAAACACAAAGGCTCATAAGAGGCCACCAGGACCAGTTATACACCAAAAAACTGGACAACCTAGAGGAAACGGACAAATGCCTAGAAACACACAACCTAGCAAGACTGAATCATGAAGAAACAGAAAATCTGAACAGACCACTAACGACTAAGGAGATTGAAGCTGTAATCAAAAACCTCCCAAGAAAGAAAAGCCCAGGACCAGAGGTTTCACTGGGGAATTCTACCAAACATTCAAAGAGCAATTAACGCCACTCCTTCTCAAACACTTCCAGAAAACTGAGGAGGAGGGAGCACTCCCAAACTCATTTTCCAAGGCCAGCTTCACCCTGATACCAAGGCCAGGTGAGGACACCACAAGAAAGGGAAACCAGAGGCCAACATCCCTGATGAACACGGATGCAAAAATCCTCAAAAGATTTTAGCAAACTGAATTCAACAGCATATTAAAAGCATCATACACCATGATCAAATGGGATTTATCCCTGGGATGCAAGGATGGTTTATCAAATGCAAGTCAACAAACATGATACACTACATTAACAGAATGAAGGAAAAATATCCTACGATCCTCTCAATAGACACAGAAAAAGCATCTGGCAAATTTCAACACCCTTTCACAATAAAAGCACTCAACAAATTGGGTTTAGAAGGAACATGCCTCAACATAACAAAGGCCATATAAGATAAACCCACAGCTGGCATCATACTCAAAAATGAAAAGCTGACAGCTTTCCTCTAAGACCACGAACATGACAAGGATGCCCACTCGCACCACTCCTATCCACACAGCATGCAAGTCCTAGCCAGAGCAATTAGGCAAGAAAAAGTAATAAGGAGAATCCAAACAGAGGAAGCAAAATTGTCCCTGTTTGCAGATGACATGATCTTGGGTATAGAAAACCCAAAGACTCCACCAAAACACTGTCAGAACTAATGAACGAATTCGGCAAAGTTGTAGAATGCAAAAATCAACCTACAAAAATCAGTTGCATTTCTATACACTAACAAAAATAACCTGAATGAGAAATAAAGAAAACAAAAGAAAAACCCTTTATAATAGCATCAAAAACAATAAAACACATAGGAATAAATTTCACCAAAGTGAAAAATCTGTACACTGAAAACTATACGACATTGATGAAAGGAACCGAAGAAGAGTGTGAGATAATAGAAAATATAAATATTGGTCTCTGCCCGAGGCTCCTGGCACAGGGCTCTTAAAGTCTCTGCAATTCCCTAAGTGGTAAGAGCATGAGGAGCATTTTTTGTTCTAACATTCGGCCTTTGACTCTGGTTCCTGACACAAAGTCCCTAAATCTCTTGGAATTTCCTGGGTGATGGCAGTGTCTTTTGCTCTAATAAGGTGACTCTGGGTGGGCTCCTGGATGGGGGCTGCTCACCAGAAAGAGCAAGCCATGATTAGAAGTTTGGAATTTTCAGCCCCGCCCCCCATCCTTCAGAGAGGGGAGAGGGGCTGGAAACGGAGACAATAATTGATCCCGCCTACGTGAGGAAGCCTCCAGAAAAATCCCAGTCGTATGGGGTTCAGAGAGCTTCTGAACACGTGGAGACTCGGGGAGAGCGGCGCTCAGAGAGCATGGAAGCTCCATGCCTTTCCCACATGCCTTGCCCTAAGCATTTCCTCCATTTAGCTGTTCCTAAGTTATCTCCTTTTATAACGAGAACATAGTTCACAGTACTGAACTTACACTTAAAAATGGCTAAGAAGGCCACATTATGTATATTTCACCACAATTAAAAACTAAGAAGAGTTTGCCTAAAGGTTAATAAGACGCCAAACAGCAGAAAAATAGGAAAAGGATCGGAATGGGAAATTTCAAAATAGGAAATACAAACAGCTAACACACTTAATGAAAAACTGTTCAAGCTCATTAATAATCAAGGAAATGCAAAAATTAAAGCATGATGTCATTTTTGTCCACCAAACTGGTAAAAAAAGAAACACAGGTGAACCCCTAAGAGCTACAGGGAGGTGGGGCTGGGACAGCACGCACCCCCCGCCTAGCCGGCCGGAAGGGAACACCTAGCGACAGTGAATGCCAGAACGCGAACTGTAGCCGGCCCAGCAGCACCCCCAGCCAGCCAGCTGACCCACCCTTCAGCTCATCGGCAGCGAAGAAGGCAGCGAGGCAGTCTTCCAGGGTGACAACTGGCCCCCAAAACCAGCTGGGGGTACAGGATACCACGAACCTGCGGAGACAGAATGGGGGTGGGAGGGTGCTGCCAGGGCCTTGGGATGGAGGTGTGCTCGGGCCTAGAGGCAGCTTGGCCCATGCGTGGAGTGGGCGGAGGGCTGGAGCCAGACACCTGAGACCACCAGCTGAGAGCTCAGTGTCCCTGGGACGGTGACATCACCTCTCTCTGAGCCCCGCCTTCCTCACTGTGAAGGGCGCCATCACGCTGGTCCCTCCTCTGGGCACGGTATGGGTTCCCAACATGAGGCAGGGCGGGGCCTGGACTCCCTCTGCCGTCCTCCTTTCTAGCTGCCCTCCTTTCTAGCTGCCACTGGGTCATGTCCGTCGTCACCCGCCTTCCAGTCCCAGCCATCCCAGGGTGGCCAAGGGACATCCCCACCCCACTTAGCTAACTCCCACGCCTCCTGCAGCCTCGAGCTCCCTTCCGGACTCTACTCTCATCCCTGCAAACGCTTGTACTCTGCTGTTTCAGGTCTGCGCCTGCCCAGGAGGCAAGTTCAAGGACAGCTGCGCCAAGGTGGTCTTGCTTCTCCAGCGAGCGGGAAGGCGGGCCTACCTTCGGATATACTCCATGATGAAAGCAAGCCAGCCCTGGGCGGCGTAGCTGTCCCCGCAGGCTCCTGGCTTGGCCGGCACGTTCTGGTAGATGGCCGAGTGGAGCTTGGCCAGGTCCTCTTTGCCAGGAATGGGCAGCGACAGGTCCTGGAATGTCTCCACCGTGGTGGACACCTGTGGGGTTGAAGGTCAGCCTGGGTCTCCACATTCCAGGGTTCTACGCTGCCCAGACAAAGCTAAGTCTGCACCCTGAACCCCAGCCACTGGCCAGTAGGTGTGGGCCAGCAGGCCTGCTCCCCAGCCCTCAGACACAGGAGCCCCAGAACCAGGCGCTCCCCTAGAGAGGCAGAGGCACCCTGTGGAGCATCCGCCGCCCCACAACCCGAGCGAGGACTGCCGAGGACAGTGAAGACCAGCACGCTCCCCCACGCCCGGGGCACCCACCCGGTCACAAGTGAGGCACTGCACGAGGCTGAGGATGGAGCCGTCGAAGATGTCGGAGATGACGCTGCGGTAGCGTTGCTCCTTCCGCCTGCGGCTGCCGGCGCTCAAGACCTGGGCTGGGGGCACAGCACAGGACTAGGCCCAGCCCGCAGTGGGCAGGTGTGGGGGCTAGCTTGGCTACGATACGGGGTCAGATCTGTACGAGTCTTGTGACTGGGTCTGCAATTCCCAACCCGGTGCCTCAGTCATCGTCTGTAAGATGGGACCCCCCCCCCCCCCCGCACCCCGCCCTACTCATGTCCCAGTGGCATTAGGAAAGCTCAGAGACACTGCGGGAGGAGTACGCGGCACAGCCCCTGGCAACGAGCACTCAAAAATGACAGCCACAGGCACGACTTCCACTGCCAGGCCCGAGCTCCACGTGCCGGCGCCCTGCTGACCTGCCCTCCCTGCCCGATCCTCCGAACCTTTCTTGAGCACGTATGATGGTCCCATCCTCACGGGGCTCGCACGAGGAGGGCTGCTGGCCAGCTTGGCGTGGCCCTCGTGGTGGTGGACGGGGCTGCAGGGGCGAGAGGCGCTGCGCATGTGGGCCTCGTTGTCTGGCTCTGGGGGCAGAGAGGGGACTGGGCTGGACTAGGGCGGCCAAGCCAGCTCTGGTGCCTGGTCAGGAAGAGGACCTGCCAGCACCTCCCAAAGGGACCGAGGCCTGCACCCACCGTGTCTCCTCTGTCCTGCGCCCACCCCAGCCCTCAGCAGACACACAGGACGTGCTGTCCACATTCTCCACGTCTCCAGTGGACAGCTCAAGGCGGTCACTCAGCTTTGTTAGCTGAGGGAGTCCGGACACATCATGTAGCCAACTGATTTCCCAGCCGGAAGTTGGATCTAGTGGTGGAACCCCCGAGGGTGCAGGGGGAGCTAACAGGACACTGCTTATCCGCGCTCGGGACGCTGCAGGCGCAGGACAAACAGGGCCGTGGTTCCCCGAGCAGTTGTCTGGTACCTGGCGTGCGGCAGGGGCTGGCAGACCGCGGTGACGGTGCCTGAGCGTCCGTGGGCTGGTGGTCAAGGGCAGTCATGGCAGTGTCCACGTCGGCATCCTCGTCCACCTGCTCCGAGTTTGTGCGCTGCTGGCCCCAGGAGAACTTGCGGTCCTTCATCCGCTCCTTCTCGGAGATGGCGCGGCCCGCCTCGTCTGGGATCAGCAGCTCCGTCTCGGCCTGCGAGCTGCCCCCGCCACGCCCCTGCCCATCGCCCTCACCCCGGTCACTGCTTGAGTCACAGGACAGGAACTCGTCCTCTGATGGGCTCCGGTCGCCCTCGCGCTTCTCATCTGAGTCGCTCGAGTCTGAGTCCCGAGCCTCTGTCAGGGCCGCCGCTGCCGCCACCACTGGCTCCTTGAGCTCCTCGTGCAGCTGGTCCATCAGGCAGCGCAGGAACTCCTGGGTGTCCTGGAACCAGGGGTCGCGTCACAAGGGCTGTCCCTGGGGGTGGGAGGAACCTGCCACAAGCACACACTGCCTCTGCTGACGAGGATGCCGGCCACCTCAGCTCCGGGGCCTTGCTGGCGCCCTGTGCAGATGCACTGATCAACCCCTCACAGTGGCCTCCAGGGCAGTTCTGTCCTAACCCTAAACTCCTGATGGCACTGAGGCTCAGAGAGGCTGAGGGACTCCTCCCAGGTCACACAGCTGTAAAGTGGCCAAGTTGAGACCCTCACCTGACTCCTCAGAGCTCACGTTCTTAATGACCTGGAACCCTGCTTCCAACTCAGTGTGGGAGAAAGCAGAGGGACCACATTCAGCCTAAAGGAGGGGACCCACTGGGGTGGTTAGGGAGCCTGTGGAAGGACAAAGGTGATACCGAAGGCATGTGTGCATGTGAGGGCTCAGGTGAGAGCTGCAGGGAGCGACATCACCTGGCAGCTAGGCCACCTGCACCTCAACGCTGCTCTCTGAGTCCTGCCCCAGCCCCCACACCCATGCCTCCCCTTGACTCTTGCTCCAGCCCTCCACGCCCATGCCTCCCCTTGACTCTTGCTCCAGCCCCCACGCCCACGCCTCCCCTTGACTCTTGCTCCAGCCCTCTGCGCCCACGCCTCCCCTTGCCACTGTGGCCTGTGACATGAGCACAGGCTCCGGAGGCAGAAGCTCACCTTCCCACAGACCTGGGCATGACCCCGACCAGGCTGCCACGTCAGGCTGGCTGGGTCTCAAACCACAACAGTGATTCTGCGTATTATTACGACTCATCTATGACTCGCGGGAAGCCAGGGCAGCGATGCCTCAGGCACAGCCTGCCACTGAGCCCAGCCAAGAGAGGTGCACACACAGGAGACACTTTAAAGGTCAGAAGATGGTGACAGCAGCTGGCCATGGACAACTGGGGCACTTGGTGTGGTGCTGGGCCACTGGGTTCCAAGTCCAGTTCTGTCCCTCACAGGCGTCAGAAGCAGCCCTCCGGGCCCAGTTCCCGACCCACGTGAGGCGGGGGTCATGCAGTGGCCAGACCCAGCCAAGCCCAAAGCCTCACATCCCGGATTTGGAGAGAGGGCCCGTCTCTGAGTGCTGGCGGTGGGGAGGGAGGGCTCTGCGCAGATTTGCGAAGGCCAGGTATCAGGCTCAGATCAGAGAAGTGGACGGCGAGCTTCTCTCACAGCAGAGAGGGAGCGGGAGGAGAAGTGTGTCCCATGCCAGGGACACCGAAAGGTGCTTTTGAGAAACAGGCTCTCGATACGCCATCCACTTTTCTTTCTGGTTCTTCCTTTTAACAAAAGTACTCTGCAGTCGTCACTTAAAGCTCAAGCTATGTGGAAACACAGCAGCCTCTGGCTATTAACTGAGGCCCACAGCTGCATCTACCTTTCAGGCTCAGAAACGTCCTGTGCATTATTTCCAAGAACGAGAGAAAAGGATGTTTCTGGAGTCCGAGTGTATGCTATGCAGCAGCTGAGTGGCCCTACCCCACAGCGTCCTCACTGAGAGCCCCAGGGCCAGCAAGGCGCCCTGTAGAGAATGAAGGTGGCACTGCAGGGAGGGATGGCTCAGCTAGGCCTGAATCTCATCCCTGCCACTGTGTGCTGTGTGACCTAAGCAAGGTATAGAACCTCTCTGAGCCTCAGCTCCTTACCTATACCACAGGGGTGATGACAGGGCCCACTTCGAGAGAGTTCTGTGAGGATGAACAGGGCTGTACTTATGTGGCAGGTGGTGACCACCTAATAAATGGTGAATGGTGAATTTTCATCAGTGGACATTATCACTTTCCAAAATGGGTGAAGTTTAGGTTGCACAGGGCTTCTCAGTCGGGAGCCTGGCATTCCTCCAACCGAGGGTGTGAGCAGAGAAATACCCAGCAGCCCTCCCCCCAGGAAGGGCTGGGAGGTAGGGTGGTGGGGCCGAAGGGTGGGGCGGAAGGCAGCCCTCGCGTGACCGCTGCCCTGTGCCTGGCCCCCACATTCAGGCAGCAGAGACAGCAATGCCATCAGGTTCCGCTCCACCCGCACGCCCAGCAGTGAACACAGGCCGTGTGCCTATCGGGGGCAGGGACCTGGACCACAGGAACGACCGGCTCAGCTCGGGGCTGGGGCACATGTACGGCTGTGTTCTGCTTTGTCTAGGCCCCATGGTTTTCCGCAATAGATATTGCTGGTTTCAAAGGGGTTCTCTAGACTTACAGAAACTTGTAATCAAAGGTCTACTTTAATAAAGGGAAATTCTGCCTGTGGTCTGGGGAAGGAGAAACCCCGTGCCGTTGTTTACGCAGAGCACAGACTCCGGAGTCAGACTGCCTGAGGTCAAATTTCCCCTCACCAGGCACCAGCTGGGTGACCTGGGCAAGGGCCGTGGCCCGCTGAGCCTCAGTCTCCCCATCCTGGCAGGCTGCTGGGAGGTTCCCACGTCCTCACACACGTGAGGGCTCAGGCAGCGAGGCTCTGACGGGGAGAGCCGCTTCACCATGCTGCACCGCTGTTACTGTTTTCCATGCTGGTCTTGGTGTCAAAGCCAGGCCTGGGAGGTAGTGGGGGTCCCCTGGGCAGCTCCAACGGCCTACCTGCTGGGCATAGCCTCGGAACATCGGGTTGACCAACTTGATCCCGTGGGACAGGCTGGTGGGAACCACGTAGCTTGGGCTGTAGGAAGACCAGACCCATTAGCGCCGGTAGCCGGCTCCAAGCTCCTCACCCCTCCAGGGCCGGCAGTCAGCGAGGCCGATCAGACTCTCCTGCACTGCCAGGAGGCGCCGACCCGGCCAGGAGCCCAGCAGGCTCGCACATCCCTACAGTCAAGAAGGAAAATGTCAAGTTGCGGCTCCACCAGGCAAAGAGCTCTTGACTAGGATGGCGTCCTTTTCCACCGGTCCACGACAAGCCTACTTTAAAATTGTTTTCACTCCAGAATACTTATTGTGCTTTTTCTTTTTCTTTTTTTTTTAAGATTGGCACCTAGGCTAACAACTGTTGCCAATCTTCCTTTTTATTTTTAAGGATTGGCACCTGGGCTAACTGTTGCCAACCTTTTTTTTTTTTTCTGCTTTATTTCTCAAAGCCCCCCCAGTACATAGTTGTATATCTTAGTTGCAGGTCCTTCTAGTTGTGGGATGTGGGACGCCGCCTCAACGTGGCCTGACGAGTGGTGCCATGTCCGCGCCTAGGATCCGAACCCTGGGCCGCTGCAGCGGAGCACGCAAACTTAACCACTCGGCCACGGAGCCGGCCCTATTGTGCTTTTTCTAATTTCAAAAGTAATACAAGTTCATTATTGAAAAATCAAAAATTTCAGAAAAGCCCAACAAAGAAACACCACCACTAACAGTACTACCCAGAGATAACTACCATTAAGATGTCCAGATTTTTCCATGAAAATACAGACACATATACAACATTATGTACAGGCATACACTTAAACCTGGCTTCCTACAAAATTGGAATTACATTGCATCAAACTGTTTTAAAATCTGGTTTACGCTTAATGTATTTCTGTGCATTCATTTTAAGTTATTCCCAATCTTGCCTTTCCCTGGAGACACAGGGCTAACCCAAGCTTCCGGTCCTTGAATTCGTTTCACACAGGTGAAGCCCCCGCCTCATCAGCACCAGCCGCCACCATGAGATTCTTTCCTCTGAGCGCATGGTGGCTGCCGGCTCAGCTCAACGCCAGGTTCAAATTCTACCTCCTCCTTTCCCAAGCTGTGTGACCTGGAGCAAGATCTCTCTGAACCTCAGTTTCCCCAGTCTGTAAAATAGGGTTGGCTCTGACCGACACTTCACAGGGGTGCCATGAGCATTACGCAGAGTAAAGTATGGCAAGTGCTCGACCGAGGGCCTGAGAGAAAATCCTCGTCCACACACAGCTGCCCGAGGTCAGGGGCTCGGCCACTCACCGTTTCCTGTGCCAGACCTCAGAGACCAGCTTCTGGTAACTTTTGCACAGGGCTGGCTTCTTGTCCGTGCGCACCAGGCCTCCACACTCCAAGAAGAACTGGGTCAGCGGAGGGCTGGGGGACAGGGGAAGCGAGGGGAGCAGAAGAGAAAAGAAGAGGACATGGCACTGTTTGAAAACCTGGGTGGAGAAGCAAGTTTCCTGTGGGGGCACTGCTTGTGTGGGGGATGTGCCGGAGCCCCCTGCAGCCAGAAACACCTGCACATGACTAGAAGGATCCCACTTGTTACAGGTTGGATTGTGTCCCCCAAAATCCCTATGCTGAAGCCCTGACCCCAGAGCTCAGAATGCGGCTGTATTTGGAGACAGGGTCTTTAAGGAGGTGATTAGCTTAAAATGAGGTCATCAGGGTGGGCCCTAGTCCAGTATGACTGGTGTCCTTATAAGAGGAGGAAATTGGGACACAAACATGCACAGAGGGAAGATGACATCAAAACACAGGGAGAAGGGGCCTGTCTGCAAGGCAAGGAGAGAGGCCTCAGAAGCAGCCAACCTGCCCGCACCTTGACCTTGGATTCCAGCCTCCAGAACCCGGAGAGAAGAAACTTCTGTTGTTCGAGCCCCTGGTCTGTGGCACTTTGTTATGGCGGCCCTGGGGTGCGAGACCTGGCCCCTCCTCCCCCAGGTCAGGTGAGCGCCCCACTTCAGGGCCGTGGGGTCAGGGGACGCCTGCTGCGTGAACGAGAGGAAGCAGCACCTGCTCCTCCTGTCAGCCCATTCTGTAGGAACCTTCTGGAGCCAGACGGCATCCCCTCCACTCCCCTTTCCCTCATGTTTTTGAAACTTATCTCATTACATAAGAAATATACATTCATTGTAGAAAAACTAGAAAATACAGACAAGCAGACAATAATAATCGACCTTAATCCTACCACATGAAGACAGCGACTCTGAAGACTCGGGCATATCCTTGTAGCCTTTTCTATGCACACATACCCCTCCCCCATCCGCCCTTCACATACACATACACTGAGTCCCACTAGGTGGACATCTGTGCAGCAGGCATAGGAGATGCCCGGGCCTCATGGAGGTCACAGCCTATCCCAGATGGAAGCTAATACTTCCCCCCAAAACGGGATTGCACCATACAAAGCTTTACAATCTCCTTTTCCCGCTACCATATTCTGAACCCCTTCCCATTTCAGTAAATATTGTCCTGCACCATCTTTTCCTGCACTCACTGTAAGGCTGGCCTAGGATGAATTTGCACTCTAACTGTTTCAATTGTTTAAGTGGTTTCCAATAAACCACAGAAGATGAACATGCTGGCACAGACAACTTTCTCCACATCTCTGGTTACCTCCTTAGGATCCAGGCCGACGGGAAGTATTGCTGGGTCATTGTGTATTTTCAGGGGTTTTGATGTGTATCCATATGCAACATATGCAACACAACTCTGAGGCTGCTGCTGCTATTTCCCGGGGACGTCCCCTGACCCCCATCTCCCAGATGAGGTGACCACCTACCAATTGGACAGGGCCTGCAGGGCAGCATTCATGTAGCAGGAGTTCCCCAGGTTCTTCATGCCCGTGAGGCCTAGGAAAGCAGTGCACACGGGGAGGGGAAGGTGAGCGTGCTGCCCCGCCAGGAAGCTCACAGCACACCCCGGGAGATGGCTGTGGCTCTCCAGCCATCAGGACCCAGGCAGAGCAGGACACGGTGGCTGCTGCTGCACCCCAGAAATCTTCCAACTAAGTTAACATGCTTCCTGCTCACAATGCCCACGGTTCCCTGAGTGTACGGAACAGACGGATGCCTCTGCCCTCCACGCAGCCCGGCCCATGGTCCACACTGTACAGGCAAGAGGCCGGGTGCAGAGGCGCCGGCCTGCCCAGGGCCACAGGGCTGACACAGGGCACGACGACTGCCAGGCCTCCAGGCCTCAGTCGGGCAGCTGGCCCTCCAGGAGAAGCCGCCATGCTGTACGGATGGCCATCCCGCCGCCCTTCCCTGCCCCTGCAGCACAGCTCACAGAGCTTCCCTGCCCGCCACCAAGGCCTCCGCCTGGCCCAGCAGCAGCCCTGTCCCGCGGGGGGGCCGTTACCTCGAGGTTTCAGGTCATCGTCCTCTGACTCGGACTCTCCCTCATCGGCCACAGCAATCGGGACGGCTTTCAGAGGGTGGGAGGGCAGCGGGGCGTCCTGCGTTAGAGACTCCAAGTGAGGAAAACGGGAGGAGGGGGAGTCGGCACCAGAGGCCCATGTGCCTCCGGGGGAAGGAAGCCAAGCCTCAGCCGCGAGCCTGCACTGAGCCAGCCCGTGGGAGCAGAGGATACCGGGAAAGAGATGGCATCGTTGGCCTTGCCCTTATTCACGATAATGAATAGTAATAATTTATCTTATTTATAGTAAATTTGGAAAAAATCAGAAACAAAGAACAACAACATGCAATCCTACTTTTCCGAGACAACCACCGTTAATAGTCTCTATGTATCTCTGTAGATTTTAAACTGTTAACATAAACATGCTTCAAAACAGGGCACTGAATATATTGTTTCACAGCGTTTTTGGTAAAAAATCATAAACGCTGACACGCCCACAAATGTGCTCCACACACACTGACCGAGCAGCTCTTCCGTGCCGGGCACCATCTAAACGTGGGGGAGGCACAACGCGCACACGCACATCCCAGCCTCCCTGTGCCCCCATCCTGCTGGCCAGTCCCACAACTGGTTTACGGACCACCGCCCCATGCTGGGCCTCCGCGCCCGCGCGCTGAGCCGCCACCTCTAAGGGCTGCACGGCGCCCCGCTTGGCGCACGCCCAGTGGGTTTCCAGGCGTTTCCCACAGAGAAGCACCTGCAGTGACTCCTCATGATTCCCCTGGGCTCATTTTACACCTGGGCTTGCCAGGGCCTCTCCACCGGCCCCACGGCCCCGGCGCACCCAGACCCTCACCTCCCCACGGCCTCCCCCCAGCCTGTGAGCTCCCTGAGGGAGGCCGGCTCCCAGTCACCTCTGTCCTCATCACCTCACACGGGCCTTGGCACCTGGCGGGGGCTCAGCGAGCATCTGCCGACACGAGCTCCTCAAAGTCACCTGAGAACACTCACCAGGGACAGACACCGTCTGGGACCCACCAATCCACGCTCCACCGATGTTCAGATCACATGGCCCTGCCCTCGACACCTGTCACCACCAACCAAACCGACCCTGCAGCACCCCCTCACCTGCTCCGAGAACTTGGGCGAGGGGCCTGGCGGGTGGGCCGCCAGCCGCTGCTCCAGGAACACCTCCCTCTCACAGGCATAACACCACACCCGGAACGTGGTCAGGTTCACCGTCAGGTTGTGCTTTTTCACCTGGAGGGCCAGATCCAAAACAGGGTCAAGGATACACGGGCCCAAGACATGCCTGAAGCCTGCATCGGGGCTGCCTCAGCTCCCAGGCCTCAGGGAGAGGCCTGGTCAGCACAGGGCCTGGAAGCCCGGCACCTGCTCACCCTCCAGCCGGGAATGCCAACGGCTGCTGCTTATCCAGCATGGACAGCTGCCAAGTGCTTGCACCTGCACTAGCTCTTGCTTCTTTGCAGCAACCCTGCTACGATTCTTCTCATTTTACAGACATAGACACTGAGACCCAGAGCAGGTGGATGGAGCTGGGAGGCAGCTGGAGCTGGGGTTTGAACTCTGCGCTGTCTGACTGCAGAGCCGTGTTCCCGGCTACCACCCTCACCTGTGCGTGAATGGTGCTGTGGTCAGCGAAGGACTCTCCACAGCCAACGTAGGGGCAGGCGACCTGGGGAGAGAGGGGAGAGGAGTGGATTAGGGCTGGCCAAGAAGACGGTGCCAGCATAGTGAGCCAGTGTCCCCCATCTCCACCCGACAGGACCCACAAGGAATTGAGGCCCTGCCACCCTGCGGGAACACAGGCTTACGTAAATGCCTGAAGTTCGCGTTGGGCAGGCGTGGCCCCCATAAAAGCTGCCGCTGCGCTCTGAGCGAGATGGGCTACGGCCTGGCTACTTGGCGCCCAGACCCTCTCCCCGTCCACTCATCCCTTTTCGGCCAAAACCCCACTTCCTACTGGGCCAGTTGTCGGGACGCACACTTCTGTGGGCCTCACAGACATTTTCCAATGGGGGATGCCAGACGGGCAGAGGCAGTCGGGACCCAGTGCTGACCCAGGGCCCCACGGGGGGCCCTGCAGGACCCTGAAGACCCTGCCTTTGGCCTTGCACTCTCCCACCCAAATCTACCCATCCTCCAAGGCCAGCTCAGTGCCTCAGCCGCAGGCCTCCACCCAGCCCTTGGCCCGCTTCCCCACAGGAGCGCTGTCCTTTCCACCGTGATCAGCACCATGCAGGCTGGGGAGGGCCTTCTGAGTCATAGAGGATGAGCGGCTTTCTGCATGAGGCTTCCACATCCGTCTCTCTGGGGGTCTGTGGGCTCCCAGGAGGCAGGACCACGCGTCCTACTTCTTGCTGTTCCCCAGGGGCCCAGACAGTGTCTTGCAATCTACTTTACACTGAGTGACAGGCCAGAGTACCCTGCAGGCCCCCGTGTTTTCTGCAAAAGCAGACTTGAACTGCGATGTCTTCCCCTCAGCCTGTCTTGTTTCTACTTGTGTTTGTTTTTAAGGAAACTTTTTTTTTTAAAAGATTGGCACCTGAGCTAACAACTGTTGCCAATCTTTTTTTTTTTCTTTCTGCTTTTTCTCCCAAAATTCCCCCAGTACATAGTTGTATATTTTGGTTGTGGGTCCTTCTAGTTGTGGCATGTAGGATGCTGCCTCAACGTGGCCCAATGAGCGGTGCCATGTCCACGCCCATGATCCGAACCAGGGAAACCCTGGGCTGCCGCAGCAGAGCGTGAAAACTTAACCACTGGCCACGGGGCCAGCCCCCGGAAATTTTAAGTAATAGTTATTTTTAATATGATTATAAAATGCAGTAAACACACACTTGTAGGAAATTTGGAAAATACTACAGAATTACAGACAAAAAATGAAAATTACCCATAATTCCACCACCCATATAAAACTGTCATGTTTTGATATAACTGTCCTTCTTTGTAATAAGCAGTAATAATGAAAACATGACTGGGTTTCATGGGGTACTGTCTGTGGCACACACCCTGCCAAGCCCATCAGAGGCATCACCCTCCCAAATTCCACCCTCACCCCACGAGGTGGGGACAGTCCTCAGTGTCGTCACCTGCTTTATAGGTGGGGAAGCAGAGGCCCAGGCTGACCCGGGGACAGACTGTCACTAAGAAGTGTCAGGGCTCAGAGCCAAGACGCCTCCATTAGGCTCACGTGCACCCGTGAGTGCACAGTTTCGCCTCTCACACAGGTGCGATCATTAGTCCCGAGGCTTCTCCAGCCTGCTTCCCTCTCTCGTCACTTCCACAGCTGCCACGGCAGCCAACCCAGGGACTTGCTGGCTCTAACGGCTTGGGCATCGCACCCGAAACATCCATGTCCCGTGTCCCTGCCTGAGCTTTCCAGCAGTACCCGCTGGGGACAGGTATGCCCAGCCCGGAGTCTAGACGGAGCTCCACACCTCTACCAGCTGTCAGCAGAGCCTACCTGGAGACAGGCCCACAGGTTCGGTCCAGCAACACCGCATGACTGACAGGTTCCCTGTGCGAGTCGAGGGAAGAGAAAGAGCAGCGTGTGAGCAGGCTGCTCCAGCCTGGAGGGTGCCGCCCACCGGTCTCCACCAGCTGATGCTGATGGACAGACAGACGGACGCACCCTAAAGGCTCTGTTTGCCTCCCACAGGCCTTCGCCAGCCACCAATCTGAATTAGGTTCCCCACAGGCGCCTTACGCTCTATTGCTGGAATTGTGTTTTATTATGTGCCTGCGAAAACACTGTCAATAAAATCATTTGAAACTTAAATAAACAGACCACTTGATATGCTCTCTCCCCACACCTCCCACTCTCTCTTTGCTGCACGATTGAAGCCTTTCCCCATCTAGACCATGCGCTCCATGAAAGAGGCATGGTCCGTTTGGTCTACCCCTGTGACTCCACAGAGCCTGGGACACATTAGGAGATCAGTAGGTTTATCAGTCACAGAAAAAACCCAGGTCTCTGGGGGTGCTTCTTATCTACCAACATCGCTCCCTCTTGCTTTAATAACAGAATGTGTGAATTTTGGCTGGACACATGACCAGCCAGCCACAGATGATATTTCTCAGTCCCCACTGTGATCATGGGACTCCGTTCTAGTTTATGGGATGACAGCAAAAGTAACGTGTGCTACTTCAAGCTGTACACTACCTTTACTCTTCCTTCTCTTTCCATTGATTGGAATGTGGATGTGATGGTGGGAGCTGAAGCAACCACCTTGGACTTAGAGATAAAAGCCTTGTGTTGAGAATGGGAGAGCCACTCTACCGGTCCTACCTACCTCTGGACTGTTCTGTGAGAGAAAAGTAAACTTACATCTCATTTAAGCCACTGTATTTCAGGGTGTCTTTGTCACAAGAACTTAAACTGTGCCCTAAATAACTCTGTCTGCACACGTCTAGAACAGCAGCTCCCAGCTGAGCCTCGGGAATGTCCAGTGTGCCGCCTCCGTCAGGTGTGAGATGGCTTCTGGGTGCCGGCCTCTGAGAGCAGTCACAATATTAGGCTCAAGCAGAGTGAGAGCTGGCACTCGGGGAGGGACCGCGACAGCTAAGTTCTTCACGTGTCGCTCACGTGATCCCAATGGCAGTCTGTGCAGCAGCTCACCAAGACCCCCACCCTACAGACGAGAAACTGAGGCTCAGCGAGTCACGCCCTGCTACAGAGTCAGCTCAGGAGGGGAGGCCAAGAAGCCTGGGCCATCAAAGCTGCTGCCAGGAAGCCTGGCTCCCCTGAGAGGGTGGCTGTGTCGGCCCCCCGGCCCCCGCGGGAAGCTCGCGTTCCTGCCAAGCACAGACACTGGCTGCGTTTGCCCACGGAGCTCCCAGTCGGGTTGAGGAGGAGCAGCTCCTCCCGTGCGGTGGGGCTGAGACCTGCACTCCGTGACGTGGGGTCTCTCCCTGCGGACGCTGTGGGTGGCGGGACATCAGTCTGCTCATCGGACTCAAAGCGGCCACCCCCCGCCCTCCCGAATCCGTAATCTCCTGTGATTCCCCAATTTCACAGTTCACTCTCATCTTCCCAGGGCTTTTTTCACTTCAGTTATTTGCATGATAAAAGTATTGCATGCTTGTTCTAACCATTCCAATGGTACATATATGCTATATACAGTTTGAAATATATAATGTATGACACAAATATGCTGTAAAAATTTGAAGTCTAACCCTCTATACTTTCTTCTGGTACAAACACATACGCGTAGATTTGGGGGGGGTGTGATTTTCAGGAAAAATAAGATCACACTATACGTATTTCTCTGTAACACGTTTTGTCACCGATCTATGGTCATCCTTCTCAGTCGGTACACAGAGACTACTTCTCATTCTTTGCAATAAGTGCCCAGTGTCCACACTCTGGGCACAGCAAAGCTTATTCGCCCATTCCCTTCTTGATGAATACTCAGGCTGTCACCAGGTTTTCCTTTTACAAACAATGCTCAATAAATACTGCTGCATCTGCATCTCTATAAGTGGTACCTACATTTTTACTAGATAAGTTCCCAGAATTTATTCCAGAATTATATCCAGAATTGCGCCCCTAAAGTTACAGTGATGTCCAGCCTACTGCATCGTGTGTGCACCACTTCCCCCTACCCCTGTGGGCTCTGAATCGGATCAGCCTGTGTTTTCCCATCTGAAAACGGCATCATCTTGCTTTCATTAGCAATATCCTCAACCACTAGTGAAGCTAAGCATGTCTTTTCAAAAGTTTCTCAGCTGTTTGCATTTCCTCCATTGTGAGCTACCTGTGCACAACCTTGCCCGTTCTGGGTATTTTAAAACAATGCTGGTTTCCTTTCGCGGGTTTCCGGATACTTGAAGAGGTGCTGAAAGACACGCTCTCTGAAATGCAGGCCTGAGACATCTCCAAACGCTCTGCTCTTTCTGCTCCAGAAGCACTCACTCTTCTAAAAGGCTGCCACATCGCAGCCCAAACCTTCTCACTTTCTGCCTCCCTCCTCCCACCTCGCTCATCTCCCTGCTCTCAGATTCCCCTTTTCCTGCCTCCTCTGGAGGAAAATTCCTCTCGGTGTGTCTCACTTACTCCCTTGTGCAGACTCAGAAAGAAACCCAGCATTAGAAGCACAGATGCGCCAGAGCCTCGCTCTGCCCCTCCCACAGACCACACGAGAAGCAAAACTACTTCAAAAGAAACCACAGGCACTTTGAAGAACGGATCCCTCGCTGCAGGCCCAGACCAAGCCAGCTCAGGCCAAAGGCCACCCAGGACGTGCTGGTGCAGGGAGGCTGGACGACTGGCACCAGAGGCCTGGAAGGAGGAGCGGCAACATGTCTAAGAACCTGAGCCGACGACCTCCCTTCTGGGAACGTGCTCTACACACAGTCCTGCCTCTGCACACAATGACATTCCCACGAGGCCGTCCACTGAAGCGTCCTTTGTACTGGCAGGAGCCAGGGCTCACCCCTGGAGGATCAGTTCTGGAGTCCATGAAATGACATATGCACAACTTTGGGACAAATAATGAGAAAGCTCTCTCCACGCACCAATGTCCAAAGAGCTCCAGGAGATATTGTCACGTGAACAAAGCAACTTACAAAAGTGTCTACAGCATGGTACCTTTCATGTAATAAAGGGGAAAATGACAAATAAGTTTATTTGTATGTATCTGCATAGAGAGACCCTGAACAGATACAAAAGAAACTAATGTGAGTGGTTCCCTGGGGTGGAATGGGGAGGGTGGGGACAGGAGGCGGCAGGGGGACTTCTTGACACATATGTTCTCACATTGTTTCATCTCTGAACCACATGGAAGTGTCACCTACTTACGATGATACGTGCTCCCCCCTCAGCGAGGCCCACCTCCCCACTTCAGGCCTCCAGGCACTCCCTTCAGGTCAGCGTGTAAAGACGCCCAGGGAGGGTCAAACGCAGGATTCACCCCCTTCTCGCAAAGGCCCTGCGCCCGCTCCAACAGCTAATGCGCAGAGCGGCAGCGGCTCCACGTGGACTGGTCTAAAGGGTCCTAAATGGCTGTCAGGAGGCAGCCCCGGAAGGGCTCTCCGACAAACGTCAGCTTTTCTATTTACATAAAAGGCTCAGCGGAGGCCAGGGGGAGCCAGTTCTCCCACTGCTTCAGAAACGTGGCCCAGGAACAGGTGGCCTTGGGTGTGGGCCTCAGCCCGTAAGGTCTGACCCTTTACCTTAGATTTGAGCAGCAAGTCCTCCTTGGTCACCTCCCCTATCGAGTCAAGGTGAGGGCAAAGGTCCCTGGAGTCCCCCATTCTGGGCCAGGCTCACCTGCGAGAAAACACAACGAGTCTGGTGTTACCGGCAGCCACTGCGGAGGGAGGCAGGGGGGATCCTGGTTAAGTGCACGACTTCGGTCTCGAGTCCGGGCTCTGCCACACATCGGCCGGTGACCCGGGGAAGCTCCATCACTTCTCTGAGCCTCAACACTCCTGGTCTGAGAACTGGGGGTGAGGATAAGACCTCCCTTGGAAATCCTGGGAAAAGGATTCCCGGCGGGGGGGGGAGGGTGGTGCATGTAAGACTGGTGAGATCTGAGTAAGCTCTGTGGCTTGTACCGATGTCACTTTACTGGTTGTGAAACTGTACGACCCATATACCAAAGACGTGGCAGCATTGGGGGAAACTGGGGAAGGGTACACGGGACCTCACAGTACATTTTTGGCAACTTCCTATGAATTATAATTATTTCAAAAGAAAATGTTTAAAAATAAATAACTGAATAAATGTTTCAGCCACTCACTATCTTGGCAGGAATCTGACTGCTGATTCTAGCTCCAAACCACTGCCGAGAAACGTGCAGACCAACCATAGATGGGAATGCAGCCAAGAGCGCAAGCACACGCAGAGGCTGTGTGTCCACTAGAGGGAGGCGGTCCCCAGGTCCCTCCTGGAAGCCCCCTCCCTGCCCTAAATGGTCAGCCAGAGATCACTTGGCCAGACTCCCAGCCAGAACAGGAGTAGCTGGCGCCTACTAGGTGCCAGGACTGGGCTAACTGCTTCCATGCATTACTTCATTAAAAACTTGCCCAGCGTCTTTGAGGCAGCTGCAATGAGCCCCATGTCACAGATTCGGAAACAAGGGCCCTTCCTGTCCCAGGTCTCACAGAGAGCAGCGCTCGAGCAAGAGTGGAACCCGAGCTGGTCAGACTCTTTTTAACTCCTGGAAAACGCAGACACGTGCAGAACCCATCACCTGGCTTCACCCACTAACAAGTCACGGCCAGCCCTGCTTCAGCTCAACCTCCCACTTCCTGTTTTGCAGCAAAACCCAGATATCACATCCTATGTTTTTCTAAAAGATTAGGACTTGAAAAAAAAAAAAAAAGAACCATAATTCCATTATTTCACCTAAAAGAAAAATCCATACTTCCTCCTCAGTCAGTGTTTGAGGGCCCCACCTGAGGAGGGGAGGCTCTGGGCCTACTCTGCGCAAAGAGACACCCCCAGGAAGCGGCCAACATTCTGCGGTGGCAGCTGGCAGCGGTGGGCTGCAGTGGGCTGGGGTGAGTGCAGGCCTCTCTGGGGACCTGGGGGACAGACCAGCACACACCATATAGTTCTGTTAGTTTAAAATCACTCTTAGCACCAACCAGAAGCTAAAAATAGCCCCAAATTCCTCCTGGGAGGGGCAAGTACACTGTGGATATTTGGGGCATCCACAGGCTGGACACACCCCCCAGTTTATCCACAGGGACAATAAAAACACACCATTCCCAGGACAGCTAAAGAAAACTCCAGCAGAGCCAGCAAATAGGGCCACCCCTCCTGCAGCATGCCGGCCCTTCACCAGTCACTGCCGGGCATTACCTTTTGATCCCTGAGAGACCTTCCGGGGTCTGCAGGAGAATGCCAAGGGGCCTCTCCCACTACTGCTCCCTCTGGCTGCCACAGCCCGTTAACCCTCTGGACGGAAGGCTCGGCCCCTTCCACGCATGCCACTGGGACCCTCAGATCATCCTTGAGCCTCCCAAGGACCCTGTGCTGCTCAGAACCCCCAACCCCCAAGTCTTGAGCAACCCCAGGCTACGGGTGCAACCAGGTTCATCCACATGTCGCCACTGGCCCCCTTCCTCGGTGGGCCACAGTATCCCAGATGTGGGCAGTTCAGAGAGAGAGAGGCAGTTAGAAGCTAACGTTTAAAATGGTCACATGACAATGATGGGGTTCAAGGTTCTAAATTCCAAGCCTCCTCACTCGAAGCCAGATTTTTAGATTTTTTTTTTCATAGTTTCCAGTGAGGCCAAGCACACTGGGTTGGTGCTAGTCCCACATTATTTTAAGCTGCAGTTTGTAGGGTTGTTTTAGTGTGTTTGGTATGTGCCCCATCTCTCCAGCTAGACGGCAGAGGAGGTTATGAGCCTGATGCCCAGGACACAGATGACTGTGATAGGCCCACCCCTGATTCCCACGTGCAATCAGATGGCTTAAGTTCCTACAACTTCAGACGGGGGGGAAAAAGCCCTGTGGCTAACAACCCTCTATGTACTCTCTCTGCCCATTTTACAGATGAAGAAACAGAACGGAGCTTAAGTAGCGAAGGAACCTGGCGAAGGTCAATCCCCATGAGAAAGTATGGTGGGGGCCTGATTAGATCAGTCCATGCCCAGCCTTGCTCTAAATCTGGGGCAGCAAATTTTCTATAAATGACCAGGTAGTAAATATTTTAGGCTTTGTGGGCCACATTGATCTTCATCACATATTCTTGATTTTGCTTTTTTTTTTTTTTTACAATCCATTAAAAATATTTTTTAAGAAATTTTAGCTCAAAGGCCCTACAGACCCTACTGGGCCTGCTGCCCTGATTTGCAGACCCCTGCTCTAAATCACAGTGCTACTGGGCCTCACCAAAAGCAACCCTGAATCCTTCCACATCCCACCACACACAGATCACCACCAGTTTAAATAAGGCAAATAGCAAAGCACAGTCAAGAGGGTCTGGCTCCAGATTTTTGTCTAAGTAAGTAATTGAGGGTGGGTGCAAAGACAGAAGAACAAAGATAACCACTGTGGCACCATTTATAATGGAGGACACTGGACGTAATCTAAGTGAACAGCTGACAATTGGATAAATAATGACACGGTCACACACGGTTGTACTACATAGCCATTAAAAATGATGATGAATAGTGAATCTTTCTATCCACGAAATTAAATTAGATCTAAATAAACAGAGAGATATACCATGTTCATGGACTAGCACATTTAGTATTGTTAAGATGTACATTTTCCCCAAACAGATCTAGAGGTTCAATGCAATCTCAGTCAAAATCCTACCAGGCTTTTCTGTAGAAATTGTCAAGCTGATTCTAAAATTTACATGGAAAAGCAAAAGACCTAGAATGGCCAAAACGATTCGGAAACAGAACCAAGTTAGAAGACTCGTATCACCTGCCTTGAGACTTTTTATAAAGGTGCAGTCATTGAGTCAGTGTGGCCCGCACACATACAGCTCACAGGAACAGAACACAGGCTCCAGAAGTAGACCTGCACACACGGCTGATTGATTTCCAACAAGGGTACCGATATAATTCAACGGGAAAAAGATAGTCTTTGCAACAAATGGTACTGGAACAATGATATCCACATGGGAAAAAAATGAACTTCAACTCCTACCTCACATCATACACAAAAATGAATTAGAAGTGGATCGCAGACTTTACGTAATTGGTGGTCAACAGAGGGCTCAAAAGACCTTTGCCTCCTTCTTGTTCTTTTCCAAGCTTCTCAGAGAGCTCGGTTGTTCTAAAATCCGCTCAGCTTCCCAGTTTGCCTTCTCATCTTCAAACTGGCGACATTCGTCCTCTAATTCCTTGCGCTGCTTCCAAATTCTTTTTTGTTTACTCATGGTGCCGTTGGTGCTTGCCCTCAGAATCCTTCAGTTTTGAACTTCTTCTCTGGCCTTCGTCTCAAACACCTGCTCCATCTCCATCTCCCTCATCGTGGCCACCATGTCTCTTCCTTCTTCTTCCATGGGTGCCCGAGGGCTCTTCAGAAGCTGCCCTTTGTTCTCGCTGTTATCAACTCCAACGGACGTCACAGCTGTCAGTTTTCTGCCTCTGTAGTTCTCATAGCGTACATTATTAGTGACATCTTACAAGTCCTGCAAGTGTCCTCGTATTAACATATTTCTTAGAATTGTAAAATCACAATCTTCACCATTTTCAATGTCAGCAACACCCCAAGGATGCGGCCTTCCTCTGACCCTTCTGCCGCTAACTTCAATGAAGTTACTACCGTTCACAGCAAGAGGTGAATGGTCCTTTATGTTTTTAACAAGCTTTTCTTCTTCATCATCTGTTGCTGGACGTTCATCTATTTTAATTTTATATTCTTGGGTTTCTTTCAGTTGTTGGCACTCCTCTGGTGTGAGCGTGTCTGCTGTGGCAATAAGTGGGTGATGCTCACTTTCTCATGCAAACTCTTCATAAACCCTCCATCCAATGGTCTAAGTCCACATCCTGAAGGAGTAATTCAGTATAAACAGCGCTGCGCCTTGTCATCGGGCATCTGACGTCTGTTCACTCAAGACTCTGCACTGAGGCAGTCCTCAAATTTACCATCAAGGTGGGCAATAACAGGCTGCCGGCGATCACTATTACTGACTGCATCTCCAAATCCTGGGTGTCAACTATCGCAAGGAGCAACCGAACACCACCTTCTCTGATTAAAACTCTGGATTGTTCCACCTGTAAGGTCTTTTTATTCTATGGGAAGGACCTAGACACTCTGGAGAATACAAATCTGTAAGGCATGGAGAGGTGAGGAATGTCGACTTCCCAGTCCAGGTTCGCCATGACCTCAAGCGTGAATTCAAACCCTGTCTTCACTGATTCACTGTACACTTGAACTGGGAGCCTGCAAACCCCACGATGCCTTCAGGCTCATCTGCTGAGCCCCCACGGCCCTGCTGTCAGCATTCCTTTCCACAGCAACGGGGACCTTGCACTGACTGACATCCTCTCTGTGACCAGCTGGCCGCAGCACAGCCCGCCAATTCTCCAGATCACAGACTTTAAACAAAACAAAATTAAAACTCTCCAATTTCTAGAGGAAAACACAGGAGAAGATCTTTGCAACTCTGGAGTTGGCAAAGGTTTTAGGACACAAAAGGCAGTAATTACAAAAGGAAACATTGATAAACTGGACTTTTTCAAAATTAAAACTTATTCCTTTTCAACAGATGCTGTTAAGAAAATGAAAAGGCAAGCTTCAGACTGGGAAAAAATGTTCACAATACACGTATCTAACAAACAGCCAAAATATATAAAGAATGTTACAACCCAAGAAAGGATAAATAGTTTCAATTTTGTTAAATGGGCAAATGAGTGAACAGACACTTCACCGAACAAGAATGGCCAATAAACACATGAACACATGCTCGACATCATTTGCCATCAAAGAAATGCCACGTTACAACCATGAGATAACGTCTCACACCCCCTAGAAAGCCTAAAACTAGTAAAACTTATACCCCCAGGTGTTGCTGAGGACGTGGAGGGATCGCCGCGCGGTCCGATGGGAGCGTGAAGCCGTGTAAAGCGCTCTGGAAGACAGTCTGGCAGCTCCCTACACGGCTCAGCATATGCTTACCAGACTCCTAGATACCCGCCCAGGAGAAATGAAACGTTCACCACACAAACACTTGTACACAAACATGCACAGTAGCTTCATACATAACAGCCCCAAAAGATCGGAAAGACCCCAGAAGTCCAGCAACAGGGGACGGAAGCAAACTACTGATACATTCATATAATGGAATACTACGTGGCACTGAAAATGACTACCGATATGCAAAGCAACACGGAAAAATTCCAGAAACATTAAACTGAGCAAAAGCAGTCAGAATCAAAAGAGCACACACTATACGATTCTATTTATATGAAACTTCAAGAGACAAAACTCATCTCCGGTGACAGAAACTGAGTCAGTGATTGCCTGGGGCAGGGGAGGAGGCTAGGCTGTAAACAGGCGAGAGGGAGCTCCCTGTGGTGCTGGAATGTTCTAGACCTTGATTGGGGTAGGATTTCTCCAGGTCTCTCCACTGTCAGATCTCAGGAAGCCTACCTTTGAAGTGCCTGCATTTTCTTGTATGTAAATTATACCTCAATAAAGTTGGTTAAAAGCACTTTACAGCACGATTAATCTATAGCGACAGAAAGTAGCCCAGTGGTCGTCTGGGGCGAGGATGGGAGGCAAAGAGGGAACCACAAAACTCTTCACAGGGGTGCATTTTATTGGATAGAAATTATACTTCAATAAAACTGATTTAAAAACCCTGAAAAAAGCCCCACACATTAAATAAATGACTGAGACCTGTGTTATCACACGGATAAATCAGAGAATGTAGAGTAATAAAAACAAGCTGCACGCTTTACACCTATCAGGATGGCTACTAGCCAGAAAACCCCCGAAGATAACAAGTGCAGGTAAGGAGGTGGAGAGACCGGAAGCTTGCGCACTGCTGTGGGATGTAAGTGAGGCAGCTGCTGCGGAAAACGGCATGGAGGCTCCTCAGAACCTACACACAGAATCACCATACGATCCAGCCATCCCGCTTCTGGGTGCAGACTCAAAGGCACTGAGAGCACAGACCTGAACAGCATTTGTGTACCGCGTTCATAGCTGCAGGATTCACACTAGCCAAAGGTGGAAGCAACCCAAGGGTCCATCAGATGAACAGATAGGGGCCGTCCTGCTGGTGAAGCGGTTAAGTTCATGTGCTCTGCTTTAGCGGCCTGGGGTTCATGGGCGCAGACCCTCACCACTCATCAAAGCCATGCTGTGCTGGCATCCCACCACAAAACATACAAAACATAGAGGAAGACTGGCACAGATGTTAGCTCAGGGCCAATCTTCCTCAAGTGAAAAAAAAAGAGGAGGATTGGCAATGTGTGACCCCAGGGCCAATCTTCCTCACCAAAAAAAAAAAAGGTGAACA